AAAATAAAGTTGATTGATTGATTAATTGATTGATTGATTGATTGACCATGTTAATAGTGATTTGACTTTCGAATCAGAAATGATGTCGAACCTCCTTGACAATCGACTTCTAGCAGACGCGTACAATCTCCTTGTTATCATTAGCGCATTCAATTCATTTTGCTCACTTGAAAAACAGATCATTGCATAAAAACTACTCGACAAATGAAATGGCCCACCTACATAAACTACGCAACAGTAATTTCGTCGCATCCCAACATTTTGCCTCTGTTGAAATTTGAATAACTTTTTTCTGCTTTGAACGATTTGAATTCGGATCACACTGTTCGCTAGCCCAGTTCTTCAGCTATAATCTCGTGATTTTTTAAAACATGAGGTTCTTCACATGAAATCGCTACAGGGTGTTACCTGAAACTGTGCAAAATTTCGGAAAGGACCCCGCACGCAAACACGGGAAATTGGCTCTCGGTCGAATTGGCTGAAATTTGACTATGTTGTTGTGGGATGGCTCATTAGAAATATATGTGAGTTCAAAAAGTTTTGTATGTTTAGTTTCTGTGATATAAGCCGACAAATTTCGTAAAAACGTCGTATCGGGGTAGGATTGACAAAGAAAAAAACTGTTTTTTTAGTATAAATGAAACAAAATAAGCTAGAAAATGTATTGATCGAAACTCATAAACATGTCTAGTTATAATCACATGAATTATAGTAAATCCGGGTGTATACGAGGCACGGTTAAAAATTCATATTTCGGAAAAAAAATTCGAGCACAATTCCAAAACCAACAAGTTATATTTTGGTGGGATATTATAGTTTCAGTCTATTGTAGGCTTCAGAAACGTATTTTGATTCTTGATAACTATCTCTGTTCGAAATATGAATTTTTAGAATTTTATGTTATAGGTACCCCTTTTTGAAAACAATTGAAAGCTTGTTTTTGATCACAAAGAAAGGAATTGATTGATACTGTTGATTGAATGAAAGCTGAGGAGACTTACTAACGAATTCAGTTGTTCAATATTGCCTTCCATTTAGATGCATTTTCGAGTTTACAGTATTACAAGTATTATAGGGTTATTACCTCGGATATTACTCAAAAATTGATATCTCAGAAACAAAACATAAAAAATTGAAAAACTTCTTGCATATGATAGTCAACATATTCAAAATAGTGTGTGTAAAATGAGATCCAAATTAACGAAACCGTTTTCGAGATATTCAATTGAAACATGTTGAATAATCTTCAACAAAATCTAACACACCCTGTATCTAAATGGAAAGCAATATTGAATAACTGAATTCGCTAGTGAGTTTCCTCAGCTTTCATTCAATCAACAGTATCAATCAATCTCTTTCTTTGTGATCAAAAACAAGCTTTCAATTGTTTTCAAAAGGGGTATAACTCAAAATTCAAAGAATTCATATTTCGAACAGAGATAGTTATCAAGAATCGAAATACGTTTCCGAAGCCTACAATAGACTAAAACTATAATGTCTCACCAAAATATAACTTGTTGGTTTTGGAATAGTACTCGAATTTTTTTTCCGAAAAAGGAATTTTTTGACCGTGCCTCGTATACAGCCTGATTTACTATAATCAGAGATTATACACTCCCCTATAATTCATGTGATCATAACTAGACATGTATTTGAGTTCCGATCAATACATTTTCTAGCTTATTTTGTCTTATATATACTAAAAATAGTAAATTGTTTTATTAGGATCAAAAGTGACACTTTGTTTGACAAGCGAATTTTGCATTTGCGAAGCGGAGCGTTCAGCGAAGTCGAGCGAAAGCAAAATTTGCGAGTCGAACAATGTCACTTTTGATCCGAATGAAACATGCTATTTTTTCTGCAACCGAAACAATTAACTCAAATGGATATGTAACCACCAAATGCCGTGCCATATATATGCAATGCAACACATATTGACAAATAATCCGTGTGGTGAGAATATTCTACCTGCATTAACAGCAGGTTTATTCAATTTTCAAGGACGTTCGAATTGCAGATTCAATATAAATACAACCACAGAGTGACATATTTGTGTATGGACCAGGTGCTCTAATGGCAAATACCGCGCCAGTGCCAGCTATAGGAACAAGACGTGGAAAATGTTAGGTTAGTGAGCATATCAACGTGTTTATATTGAGTTCATTGATCAACAGTGCCGGATTTATACTCCCTTACGCCGGGGGCTAACTTTTACGATGCCGCCGTGCCGCCGCCAAATATTAAATTTCAATTGTCAGTTTCAAAATTCAAATAATCCTTTCACTGTTCTTTTACAGCATATAACAATAACATGAAATCATTATGTACAACGAATCAAATTATATTTACTTCTCACGTTAAACATAACAACAAACAACAACTTTTTTTTGCAGATGAATACTAAAATACTTTTCTTCAATTTTTTTAATGCAAAGTCGTCAATGGCATCATTAAAATTCAGATTTAATAACATGTCACTGTTAATACTTAACATTGATGGGATATTCAATGTATCCTCTACCATGGAGTTCCTAAGGTAGTTTTTCACTCTTTTCAAAGTTGAGAATGACCTTTCACTACTGGCAATCATAATCATCAGGGATAGTAAAAAAATTCTCAGTAATTGCCAATATTCAATGAATGAAGAATTTGTTGTGATTATCCCTGAAACAACGCTTAATCGTGTTCATATTTCGCTCATCTATATTTGAGATTCTAACTCTTCTTTTTCGTGTATTGAATGTAAAAATATATAGAACTTACCATCCCCATCTTGAGATCGTGAAGTTCCCGGAGACGGTTCTGTCGGTTCTGATTCTGTCTCATTCGAATTTAGAAAAAAATGAATGTATTTTAGGGCTTCTCTTGACAACTTCGTCTAACTGCTTTTGTTTATTGATCTTCTGCCGTTTCCAGAATGCACCACCTTCTTTTTCACTCATTTTTTCAAATTTCAGTTTCAAAATTTATTTATTATTAGTGCCATTACCAACAATACCAACGACAACCTATTGAATACTGAACTCTGAATTTTTTTTTGTTATTGAGCTTTTGTATTGTAGCGCCCAAGACACAGCTGACGCTAGATTAGTGCATGTTATGATTTTCACAAAATGAGGTGCCGACTGCCAGCGGTAGCTAATTGCGTGTTTGTTTCAAAAGGCGACTAAAGAGGCGGCATATAAAAAGCAAGAAGCAATATAATACATTTGTCGCCTCGTCGGCGACGAATGTATTACTGCTTGCTTTTTCTCTTTTCTCTATTTCTCTACCGCCTCTTGAAATTCACCGCCGGGGGCTGATAGTCCCATAGCCCCCCCCTAAATCCGGCACTGTTGATCAACAATAATAATAGCGATTATTTATTTATTCCTCTCCATACTACACTGTGTTTCACTTGATAATCAAATGAAGGTAAACAATATCGTTGTTTGAGTCAAGAAAACTATTGCTTGCCGTGATTATTCAAAAACAAGTTACCCATCTCGAGAATAACGAATGAAATACAGACCAAGCAATTATTTGAATCTTGAAGGCTTTCCTGATCAACACAAAAATATACTCAACTGAGATGTTTATAATTCCAATGCTCAACTATGATAAGATGTATTAATTTATATCTCCAGCATGGGTATAAAATGCCAAATCTGCTGAAATCGAATCAACCCAAATAACCAACCGTCACAATGTTGTTTATTGTTGATGACGTCCAGTACATCTTTTTTAGTTCCTAGGAGCTCAAGTTCAACTTTAGCTCCTAGGAACTAAAATTCAACTTTAGCTCCTAGGAACTAAATATGTTGCCTAGCAACATACCTATTTTTGTGTCAGTAATAGAAACGTCAATTTGAGAGCTAATTTTGGTATCAAAATGGACGACTTTTGTGTTGGTTGCAGAAAAACGCCCTTTTTTAACTTTGACAGTAGAGGCATGTAGATGATCTCATTATCTTGGGACAGTTCTCGAATTTTCTCCTGATCTCTTTTATTATATTATATAAACTGGGCGTCAATTGAAACGTTAATAGTGAAATTTGGCATCAAGTTTGACTCTTCCTAAATTCTAAAATATTGAACAAATTTTGAATTGCCGCCCAGATTCTGAATGCCTCTTTCAAAATTTGCTCGGTATCAATGATATTCAGGCAGGTGAATGAACGGCTTTTCAGTGAATATCTTTTTTAATACAGAATGGGACGAATTTTTTCCGTTCAATAATAGTATATTATGTAACAAGTGTTATAAACGTCCTTTTAGTGACGAGTATTTTAAGCACGAGCGGAGCAGAGCGTTACATACTATGATTTTTCTACGAACTCCGAAAATTACATTAACATACCTGCTATTCCTGCTAACCTACAAAATAATCCTAAAGGAATGGGAATTGAGAACATAATACATGCGCGACTGCATGCAACCAGCGAGACACGTATAAGTGATATTGGTGTCCAGTCCATTGCTTACTAACCTGTTTTACCCCTCAGGGGCTCACAACTTGTGAGTACGGGAATGGTGAACCCGAGGTACCCTAGCCGGATATTCACCATACTTCAAATTGTCCTGGGTGGATATCCTCTTCTCTCTTCCGTTTTCAATCTGTCTATCGTCCTTTCTTGGCCAACTTCTCTTTTCCTCTTCTCTTCCAAGCCCAACCTCACCATCAAGTGGTGTGGGGAAGGCAGGCCGCGGCCGCTTGACAGATGAAGCATTTTGGGACCATCTTTGCTATCTTCTGCCAGATGGGACAATTGTGGACATCTGTGGCAGAGATGGGGCGATTTGCTGATGTCTGTCTAGGTGGTCGAGGACTGGTCAACGAGGCTCTGGCAACCTTATCCAAGCTGTGGGAACCCGTGGCGATGGATGGATGGCACCGAGGAATGGGGTGTCGCTAACGGGGCCTCTGGGAAACAGGGCGACATCCCAGAGTAAACAGCCTTAGCCCTGTGCAGGGGGCACCACAGGGCTGGACCAACCCCTTCCCCCGTCACTCGTAGGCAATGAACTCAATAGAAACTGGAAGACGATCGTTCTCTAGAATAGCACAAAGTGTGTCAGGGGCAGCTGCAACAAAGATAGCATGATTTACGGATACCTGTCCTCTTCCAACTCGTGTTGTTTAATGGTGGATTGGTGTATAAATTTTCTTTTATCTAATAATTAAAGTAGTAAAGAATTTTTTCTGTCATCTACACAGGCAAGAAAGTGAATACATAAGTTCATTGTCTTAGTTCATGTGAAATACGAGGTGAAATATCTATTCATTTGGCGTGTTTTGTTGTAACAAAAGGACTGAATTTGTTGTTGTGAACACTGAACTGATTGTTGAGATGGATGCAAGAATGAACAGAAAAAAAAGGAAATTAGCATTCCATGGGTAAGTTGAATATTGTTCTCAGATTTTTGAAAAATATAGTTCATGAAATGATCATCAGTTAGGTTTACAATGTCCAGTCTCAGAATATGTTCAAAAACTATACCTATATTATTTGTCAAAGTTAAATACTTCCATATTGATATTGAGTAATATTATTTATTGCAGTTTTCCATTCAAGAGACCAGACATTCTCGAATTATGGATGAAGGCAGTTCCTAGTGAGAATTGGACTCCAACTAAAAGCAGCAAGCTTTGTGGGGAGCATTTCCTGCCAACAGATTATTTAGGCATACCAGGTATACTGCTAGGTTTTTGAAAGCAGATGCTGTACCCAGTATATTTTCATTTCCTCAGCATTTGTTACCAAAAAATGCTGATTCCCCCAGGAAAATAAGAAAACTCATAGGTACCTAGTTGATTAATAATGAAAAAAAAGTATGTTTGCACCTATTTGAAATAAAAAAACTAGCTAGTAATTTGTTTTCAGGATGCATCTGTGGACGTTCATAACTTGGGTCCAAAGGAAGAAAAGTTTCCCATGTTATTGACTTTGACTTGCCTACCACTTCCAGCTCCCAAGTTTCGAAGTTGATCAATAAAGAAACTCAAACTGTTTCATTAGAGAAGGATATTGTATTGAGGAGAAAAGTGAACACACTGAGACAAAAAGTAAAAAGGAGAGACCTAAAAATTTCAAACATGAAAGAATAAGTAGTTCAATCAATTTCCAACAGTGGGTATAGTAATGACAATTAATGAAGAACCTCTTTTCAAATTTTTCCTATCGTTTTTCTTTTCCTTCTGATAGTTCCGAGACATTGTGCTTCGCTCACCCTGTACAATATATTGTGACATTTGAATAAAAATATATAATTTCAATTTTGTATTCATTTGACTTCCTGATACTGTAAGAGTAATATTGAAATTTCATTTTAAAGTCAATAAAAAAATCAGTAATAATTTTTTAATGATAATTGATTGCAACATTATCCTTTTTCCTAAATGAATATTTTTATTTAATCACGTTTACTCTTAAATAGAAGCAAAAAAACGAGAAAATATTTCAAATTATGCGAGCGCTTCCCATTAGCCAACACAAGATAGAGAGAGATAGGTATCCGTAAACACTGCGGGTTGCCTGAAAAATATTTTTTTTCTGTGACGGGAAAAAAGTTTGGCATTTCATCTCTGTTGGCAGGTTATAAAATGTCACTTTTCATAAATTACTTTTTTCCCGTGGGAAAAAAGTGAGTACTTTTTTCCCGGATATATATCACATATATATACTCTGTTAATGGCTTTTGTTGTGCTATAGTTCCGAAAAATGAGTCAATAATACCGTCTCCGAGAAAGGACTGCAAGTCCTTTTATCTTCCATTCGACTTCGCGGTTTCGTATATTACTAAACAACTACTGAATTCGCAATTTTTTAAAATCAAATCACAGAATTGAACTGACAGAAGTGACATCAGATATTTGATTACTTCAAAAGAATGATAAAGATGTCTATAAAACGCAGGTGTCCCTACTGTTGAAAACTTGAGATTTCACGTCGATAATTTTCAGATTTCGAAATAATGTAATATATTCTCAATATTGATTCGTCCTTCCTTCTGTCACAGAAAAAAATAGTGTATTATACACGGGAAAAATATTAGATTTTAGCTCACGGTTTTTTGTCTCCCTCCGCTACGCGTCGGGAGACAACACAACCTGGAGCTAAAATCTACTACTTTTTTCCCTTGTATAATAAATAACTATTGCCTCACTCGTCGTTCACAGTGGGTCCCTTCCAGTTGTTTACATACAGTTCATTGCTCGTAGGAGAGGGAAAGCTTTTGGCCTTCGTCGTAGATGAGAACAGGGATCGGAATAGCAATCTTCAGGGACCTGAACGAGAAGGGTCTTTCATATTGAAGTGGCCCTTAATAGGCACCATGAGTCGTATGTGGTAAAATTGATAACGGCATGTTGGTGAGATACAATGGGCCACTAGGCCTAAGTGTCGTCGGAGCCTACAACGTGGTGGTGTTTAGTGGGTATACCATGGAGGGGACTCCTACACTATCATATGGGGGATTGGACCCATATGATGTCTATAAAAGATTTCAACCACCTCGGGGAAGAAAAACCCTCTGTTTCACGTTTATTGTCATGCTTAGCGCAGAATAAATAAATTGTTCTCAAAGATGGATACTTCATTTTTACACTTCTTGGAGATATGTAAGTACCAGAATATTCTCTTCGATTTCACTCTCGTCTAAATTTCGCATATATTTTTAATGAAAAATTCTGATACAAACGAATATTGTTTGAAAAATTCTGATACAAAATTCGAAAATAACAGTTGACAGTTAATACAATTGACAGGCCAGACATGTCTCAAATTACTGAAGCTGCGTTTAATGAACTGTGTTGCCATGGTAATGTGTTTAAGAAATCGTGTTTCCATGGTAACGTGTTTAATATTTGAATAAATCACAGATCGACAATCCGTGATTAATCGATCATTTAGCGTGGTACATATCCGTACGCTAAATGCCATTTTAGTTATGTGAGTAGAAAAAGGCAATTTTAACATAGGTGACAAATTTCACTTTTTGTTTCCACCATTTGATTCTTTCATCTTTTATCTACAAAAATGGTAAACTTTATTTCAATCGATATCTTGTGACGTTCAAGAGAAAATCGCATTTCAAAACACACATTCCGACCGTTTCAGAGGTAATAAAAGCTCCATTTACCTATTTAATGACATCAGTGAAGACAAACAGATTATCAAAAATTGTTTTCAATATGTGCAGCTAGAACTTCAACGCATTTTCTAAAGTTGTCTAAACTCGAGATAACATGTGATGATCATTTTTTACGGCGTGTCCAGATGTAACCCTAATAGCACACAACGTCCTAGGGACGTCCCTATTTGGTACAATTCCGAATGTCCCGAACCAAAAATAAGTGTCCTTGGGACGTCCCATCCCGTACACGGAATGTCCCAGCTGGTACATCATATCAAATGTCCTAGAAATAGCATCCCTTAGACGTCCCACGTGGTACATATTGTAGAATGTCCATGCAAGGACGTCCTTGGCATGTCCCTGATGGGATATGATTTTAAACGTTCCTTTAGGGACATCCATCGGATGTCCCGAGTAGTACATATTCTGGCATGACTTCAGATCTTATATAATGTCCCTTCTAGACAACCATGAAATGTCCCTGATGGTACATTCCTTCAAATATCTATGCACAGACGCCCTTGATATTTCCAGGATCTTATAACAATCGAAATGTCCCTTAGGGACATGCTTCGAATGTCCCTTAGGAATATCCGTCGGATGTCCCAATTGGTACATGAACTGTACTCTTCCAATGTCCTCGAAATAACGTCCTTTGGACGTCCCAGTCGGTACTTTCAATATGTTGTCCCTGCGAGGACGTTTACTTACACCTCGCCGACGAATGATTGCTCGTAGGCTATAGGTACTTCTCGTCAATGTCACGTAAGTCCATTGGACATCCGTGGGAAACTTTTTGGGGACCTTCTACGGTCCATAAACTCAACTGGATGTACTAATAAGTTACGCAAGATCTGGTCCTAGAGGGACCCAGAAAAATTCATATTCAAGAATAATTCGTTCGTCCCTGGGACATCCTACGGACACCAATTGATATCCCTCAGCGTTGCTGATAGGTTGTCCTATGGATGTCCTGAGGATGTCCTCGGTAGTGCTTGATGAGGAATACTGTAGGATTTAGGTATTCGATAGTTGTCCCAGGGACATCCCTCAAGGACGTCCCTAGTTGATCCTCAAGTGGGATGTGCGTCCCACAAACGTCCAATGGACGTCAACGGTACCATATTGGAACGTCCTATGGACGTCCTGAATGTCCCGACAGTACGTCCTAAGGATATCCATGGGACATAAGTGTGTTATTAGGGAAGAATTCGATATAAAAGGTCATTCCTAATATTTACAGGTGTTTTATAGACTAAAAATTCAAGATGTCTCCCCAAAGAACTGAATCAAGTAGATTAAGAGCAGGTGACCGAGGTGACCATGGAAAACGACCATGGGAAACCATCGTGCATCAGCTGTGTATCACCAAGAATATTCAAAAGAGAACCTCTTCTTACAAAGGATCTGGATGTTCTTGCAAAAAGGTTGAATATTCATTTACATTCAAAGTACCATTAATGATTTAAGATCCATAATTGAACAGTTGCCAATTAGTCCTATCCATACATTGATGATGAATGGAGTTTTATAACCTTTCAAACGCTTGGGATATATTTCCAAATGCGAATTTCTCTAGATCGGTACAAGATATCGATTGAAATGAAGTATACAATTTTTGTAGAAAAAATGTGAAGGGATCAAACGGTGAAAGCAAAATATCAACTTTGTCACCTCTGTCAAAAATGCTTTCATTAAACGGAAAAAATTCGTCCCCATCACTGAACTAGAATTCGTTTTTTCCAATTTTCATGCTTTGGAAATGTTTCCATGATCTATTTAGTTCGGGAATAGGACTTTCCCTTTCAAAGTGTCCAATTTCGCCCACCCTGTACATATCTCGTTGAACAGTGTATTTCCTAACTTCAAGCGTTACCTGAACATCCACCAGTGCAAAATATACCATATACCATATATATATACCAACATGCAATATTGTACAGGGTGTTCCTGAATTCAAGTGACAAAAGCCTAGGAGAGATTTATCCCAGGATCACATGACAAAAGTTAAAAAAAAAAACTATATCTAAAGATGGTTCATCACGATGAAGGGTATTCAAATTAGAAAAATCAAATGAAATCTTCAATGACGCTTCTGCCGATCTGAATGACATTTTCTCAGTTTGTTGAAAATCTAATGAAGCATGATTTGGACCTCCTAGAATTCACTCAGTATTCAGGTTTATGCACGTGAAATAAAACCTAGATTTATTTGAAACTTTCTGGTTTTTTGTTTCATTCCTATCCTATTTCATTTTCAAGAAAGAGTAGATTTGCATTTGTTTGAATGAAAAAAAAAAAGAAAAAGGTTTGATAGGAAAAGAATCAGGCAAAAAGTCATTAAGAAAACTATAAGAAATTGGAAAAACCTGCTGAGTGTTATTATTTGTGCTCAAAATGTCCTTATTTTTATTTATTTATTTATTTATCTATCGATTTCAATAAGTCATTCTGGTCCTTACTTTTGCTGCCTATGAGTAATCCACCATTTTTGACATTCTTGATCTTGGTTAGTTGAAGTTTTGCTTTGGAAAGATCCATATTCTGAAGAATTTCAGCCTTGGTGTGATCGATAGATTGATTTGCGTTTTTAGGAAATATAATGACAGCAGGATGGGATTTAATTTTCAAAATTTCCGAATATAAATGGAGGTTCCGGTAGTGCTGATATACTCTAGGTAGACCTAATTTCCATCCTGATGCATTCGATGTCTTTCTTGAAATCTGACAAAGATGCATCAACCTTAGATTCAAGTAACTGCCCGATTTCATCCTGATTAATGACAATACAGTTATTTGTACAGTCAGGAAATCTCCATGAGAGACCAGGAACTGCAGAAAAGACAACCGGTATATCATAGCTTGACGATATTTTTATGGAAGAAACCTCCCATAGGCTTTTGTCACTTGAATTAAGGAACACCCTATATACCATCATAAAAAGGGTATGAAATGTATGTAAAATGTGTCAAAAACAACAACTGATGAGATAAAACCATTTCACTCTATACAGAGTGAATCATATAATTTTCTCACCTTGGTGTTTTCAGCCGCGGTGTCGCGGTTTTTTTTCTCCTTCTTGATGGAGGAGTTCGTCGCCAATCGGGATCTTTGGCGACGTCGTCCTCCTCGCTGAAATTCTTGAACAAAAAAAGGGGAATTTTCAATCCACCGAACTAAATTATAAACATAAAATACAGTGTATCCTGCTTCAATTGTCTGTTTACGAAACGTACAGTCCTATTTTTGAGAACCTATGACAACTTTACTGTCAACATTTGGTAAGCAATCATTCCCGATAGCCCGTTTTATGCAGAATAGGATGACGTTAGTTTTTCTCAGTAATATACCTGTACGCTTTTTTTAATGCGACTGTACTACTCAAAAAGATCTATCACAGTTTGATTTAAAACTTCATGAGTTTCTGTGATCGATAATATATTACACACCGAGGTGGCAAGTGATTCATTCAATGTAACATCCTAACGATGTTTGTATTAGTATATTACATAACAAGAGTTGTAAAACGCATATTACGCACGAAGTGGAGAGAGTTACACACGATACCGCATAGCGGCGAGTGTGTAACTCCACAAGTGCGTAATTGCTTTACAACTCGAGAATTGTACTATACTTTTTCTACGACTACACTATATTTTCTTCCGGATATTGCAGATATTGTATTAAGGCACAACTAACGAATACAAATATAAAACGTCTCCCGTCACTAAGCCAGCTGCATGAAAAGTTACAAATCACAATTCTTGTGTTTGTTTATTGATATATTGCATACCGAGACATTTTCCTCAATTCGAACTGAAATGGAGCCGATTTTCATATCTAAACAGCTTTATTAATAGGTAGCCAAAAACACATTGTATAAAAATATAAAATTAACACTGATAATGGTTATTCACGTGTAACAGTGCAGCACGAGAGATTTTGTAATTGTTATTGAAAATGATGAAAAAAAGTTCTCCAACTGCGCTCTGAACCACCGACCTTTGGGTTTGGAGCCAGCGCTTCCGCCACTGAGCCATCACCATTTCTCCGTATTAGTAGATATTTTATGAATATAATCTCGAAGATGGATCTTTTTTAATAATTCCTGTTATTTAAAAAAAAGGAATTCATCAATTCATTGTTGAGTATGTATGTTATTTGAAAAATATCCTTCAACAAGAGCATTCTGCAGAAAGTAATTGATCTGTTCAGCATTAAGTATTTTTGATTTTTTACTTCGGAATCCATATCCTTCCATTTTGAGAAAAGGGGATATGTTGCTAAATTAATATTGTGATTGATATTTCAGTGTTGATCGTAACATGGAATATATCGACCATCAGAGTGATGATGATATCATGAAATTTGGTAATAATTCTTGAAAATATACTTAAAGGATATTTTCCGAAAATGACACGGTATTATTTCTAATTCTCCAGTCCAGGAATATTTGATGTGCTATTTCGTATCATTTACGAGACTTATTTAGCGGGTAGCAACTCATTTTTTAACATTCTATAGTTTTCTCCAACATTTCTGGTGGTGTAGAAATAATCTGCTCATCGTCATCGCTTGACATCATTTTTTTTCAACTGAAATTGAGGATTCTCAATAGAAAATAATCATATTTTCAAAAAATATAACTTTCTTGATGCTTTCGGTTTCGGTGGATAGCTGGATTGATTGATAAAAAGATAAGTACCTACCCACCTAGCTAGTGACATCAATGAAATCCCCTAAGCAACAAAACAAAGTCATCTATCAACATACCTATGAAAACCGTGCGATCGCTCTCTTTACGCACACGTGTGTAAGGAGAAGCTTACTGCCATTGTTTTGTGTACAATATCCATCACTTACAGTAGTAGTCGTGGAAAAACTATTTTTCCTCCAGGAATTTTTCATGATTTTTAAACACCCTGTATTTAATTAGCTCATTGAATTCCTTATTTTTTTTCTTTCAAAGTGATAATAATAATGTATGAATATAAAATTATCAAATATGCTCTAAACCCCAAAAATAGGGGGCTATGGATTTTTTATATAAAACAGTTTCAATTATTGGAGGAATATTTCTTTAGATTTTTCCATGAAGAAGACAAAACAATACCAACACTGGTTAACTAACAAAACACAAAACTTAGGTACCTGTATGTGGAATAAGCACCTGAATTAATGTTTAGTAAAACAATTGAATTTTGAAATTATTCAATAACTTATTCATTGAATTGTTCAAATTGATATCCATTTTTCCTCACACACTATCTCAATACTTCTCAAAAATCATTGAAGGATGTCTTTGTAAATCTTTGAAAACTGCCTCTGTGTTGCATGAAGTTCTTCAAGATTGTTGTGCCTGTCACTGTATTGAGAAAGTGTCAATTGTGTGTTAGGGAAAATAGACATCAATTTGAACAATTCAATGAATAAGTTGAATGAGACATCAGTTGTTATTCATCTAGTTGGAAAATTGGAGTTACAGTAAGCCATGAAATAATGAATCAGGTCAATTCATGGACCATTTTGAGTAGTGAATTTTGAAAACAATAATTGAATCATTCATTCTACTTCGAAATACAAGGAAGACTCTGGTATAACAAAAATGAAATTGTCAGAGAATTTAGACAGAATAACTACTCACCTCAACCTCATCCACGATGACTTTCGGGACGGCTCCCTTATTTGACTTCTGAAAAGAAAAAAGAGTTTATGCAATATATCCCTTACAAGTTGAAAAAATTCCTCAGTCGTCACGAAATAGAGGATGTTTCTGAGATTGGAGTGATAAATGAAGTGGGAAACAAAAGACAAATAAACGAAAGGACATAACAGTAGATTATTTTATTAGGATCAAAAGTGACACTTTGGCTATATTCCGAATTCAACTGGTCAGTACTGTCAGTAGATCCACTGACTCTGCTGAAAATTTGTGTTCCGAAATATAAAATCAAAAATACAGTGCTGTAATTCGGAACACGTTTTCATGGTTTTTATCAGTAGTCAGCAGCAGTTGATGATCAGCTGGTGAAATTTGTCAGTCTGTAGTTTCTAGTTTATCTGAACCAGATATTTAGCCTCCTGCTTGATATAAATTTTGGAGATTAGTAGTTTCTACGATTGTTGACGATGACGATTCAAGCTCGAGAGATGAAGAATACTTGGACATTAGGTTGCCATTAATTTTTCATGTTGCATCAGATTGAGAATTGAAAAATTCATGAGAAACGTAATATGGCATTAATAATGATGAATTAAGGAGACAATTCAGGTTTATTTTGTGATTCAATTAGCCAATGCTGCTCCTTCTTTCGTTACCTCTACTACTTCATACTCCATATTATTCTCAGCGTTTATTATTTCAATAAAAGCTATAACAGGTATTTTCTGGAATTGAAAATAATATCATCAACAACGGAAATAAATGTTACATTCCTTCCCACTCTAAAATAATAACAGTTCACTGAAGCCACACTACCTTCTGATAGTCAGCAATTTCAGCAGAATGTTGAGTCGAAATTTTTGGAATGCATTGTATGTCTGCTCACAAGCATAATATGTCACTTTTAGTGAATGTTTTGATTTCGGAATGAAAAATCAGCAGATTCAGTACTGTCAGTTGGATGTCAAACAAAGGGTACTTTTTTTTTGTTTGCAACTGGTGACAGTAGAATTGACGACCAATAAAACGATGTGATTCTTTCGAGTTGTGACATTCAGCTGATCTTTTTTAGGGTTATACAGGGTGTCTGTAAAAGGTCTTTACGAAAACATACCACATATTCCCTAGACCAAAATAAGTCGATTTAAGTAAAATTACCTCAGTACGAAGTTGCATCGTTTGGGCTCCAGTGGGCCTTGAAGTTACAATTTTTAAATCGTTTTTCCCATATAAATTTGAAACGGCATATTATGCGATTTTGCTGAAATTTGGTATATTGATAGAGTTTTATGTGGCAAAATAAATGGTGTTAAATGTCCGATAATAATACATAGGCGTAGAACTTGATTTTTTAAATAATTGCACCTTTAAAAATTCTACGCCAATGGAAGAAAAAGAGTTTGAGTATGAAATTCAGATTGCGCAACTCATTTACTTTAAAAAAGGTACTCTTGATAAGACTTGATTACTCTCATGGTTTTGATGAAATTTGCATTTTAGTAATTTTAGAACATAAACAATAATTATTAAAATACAAACTTTATCATAACCATGAGAGTAAATCGAGTGTTATGAAGGGTACTGTTTTGTAGTAAATGAGTACCAAATCCAAATTTCATACTCAAACCCCTTTTCTGCCATTGGCGTAGAATTTTTATAGGTGCAATTATTTAAAAAATCAAGTTCTACGCCTATGGCAGAAAAGGGGGTTGAGTCTGTTTGGATTGGGTACTCATTTACTACAAAACAGTACCCTTGATAACACTCGATTTACTCTCATGGTTATGACAAAGTTTGTATTTTAATAATTATTTTTTATGTTCTAAAATTACTAAAATGCAAATTTCGTCAAGACCATGAGAGTAATCAAGTCTTATCAAGAGTACCTTTTTTAAAGTGAATGAGTTGGGTAATCTAAATTTCATACTCAAATTCCTTTTTTTCCATTGGCGTAGAATTTTTAAAGGTGCAATTATTTAAAAAATCAAGTTCTACGCCTATGTCTTATTATCGGACAAAATTTCAACACATTTTTTTTGCCACATAAAACTCTATCAATATACCAAATTTCCGCAAAATCGCATATGTTATTTTAAATTTATATGGGAAAAACGATTTGAAAATTGTTACTTCAAGGCCCTCTGGAGCCCAAACGATGCAACTTTGTACTGAGGTAATTTTACTTAAATCGACTTATTTTGGTCTAGGGAATATGTGGTATGTTTTTGTAAAGACCTTGTACAGACACCCTGTATAATAATAATAATAATAATATAATTCTGGGATCTTGTTGTTCATCCGTACATTATTATAATTTGAAATAGATGTTGTTCCCGCTTTCCTTCTGAGTAGGTGCATCGGTGAGAAGGCATAATACATTGATATTTATTGATGACATTGACCCGTTAATAACATTATTATAATTTGAAATAGATGTTGTTCCCGCTTTCCTTCTGAGTAGGTGCATCGGTGAGAAGGCATAATACATTGATATTTATTGATGACATTGACCCGTTAATAACATTATTATAATTTGAAATAGATGTTGTTCCCGCTTTCCTTCTGAGTAGGTGCATCGGTGAGAAGGCATAATACATTGATATTTATTGATGACATTGACCCGTTAATAACATTATTATAATTTGAAATAGATGTTGTTCCCGCTTTCCTTCTGAGTAGGTGCATCGGTGAGAAGGCATAATACATTGATATTTATTGATGACATTGACCCGTTAATAACATTATTATAATTTGAAATAGATGTTGTTCCCGCTTTCCTTCTGAGTAGGTGCATCGGTGAGAAGGCATAATACATTGATATTTATTGATGACATTGACCCGTTAATAACATTATTATAATTTGAAATAGATGTTGTTCCCGCTTTCCTTCTGAGTAGGTGCATCGGTGAGAAGGCATAATACATTGATATTTATTGATGACATTGACCCGTTAATACTTTCAGGTTCTCTAGCAAATATCATACCGAAAATTCAAAATTATCAACATTCAAAAGTCCTTTCGGATCCAGTCCAGAAGTGTTTGAAAGTATTCCGGGTAGAATTGCGAACAATTCCAAAATATTTTTTGAGGCGAGTTCACTTTCAGACATTTTTGAAAGTCAGATTTTGAGGTTAGAGTATCTGAAATACCGCCATGTCTGCCATTTCATACACTCCTTCCACAATGGGCGTGTACACCTCAGTAAAATTTTTAACTCAAACCATGTTTATAATGATCCTTTTATACATAAACAATGATTGGGGATATAATTCGATCGAAAAATTAACTAGAATGTTTTTTGTCTGAAACGTTTTGTTCTAGCCATCAAAATAAAGCGGTGGTGAAAGTTCAATTGTTTTTTCAAACAAACCAAGATTTCTCCCGTTTATTCCGACCGATTTTAGCAAACTCAGGGTAATATGAAAGAGCATAATTTGCCCTAAAAAAGGCTCATTTGGTTTTGAATTTTTGACTCTTGCTGTCGCCGCTAGATTGCGTTAACTGAAATGTTAGCGAACTTTTGAGTTTTTTTCGAAAAAATCAAATGTAATGGTATATAAATTTTTTTAAGTATTGAAAGAGGATAAATTTCTCTATAATTTAATGGAAATAATTTATCATTTACCTTTTTTTGAATCGTTGATATTGACCATAATATAATTTTATTACATTAAAAAATGGCACGCCACTGTTTTTTATCAAAATAAAAATCAGTTTTGTAATCTCTCACTAACAAAAATAAATTCCTGACTTTTTTTCGTTAGACAAACGGTTTTGGATTGAAAAATTAAATTGGTTTACATGGGGCGCCCATATCTAAGATAAAATTGAACCAGTATGTAAACCTATTTTATTTTTTCAATCCAAAACCATTTGTCTAATGAAAAAAAGTCAGGAGGTTATTTTTGTTAGCAACTAATAATAGATTACAAAACTGATTTTCATTTTGATAAAAAACAGTGGCGTGCCATTTTTTAATAAAATAAAATTATATTATGGTCAATATCAACGATTCGAAAAAAAGGTAGATGATGACTGGTCTGAAATGCTGACGAAATTTGTTAATTCTCGGAGTTGCTAAAATTCTTAGCAGAAAGCTTCACTTTTCGTATCGTATCTCGAAAACTAGTCAGTCGATTTCTTTGTGCCCATGGACACTTTTGCATTTTCCGTAAGAAAAGTGCGGGGTCCTTCAATCGACATGTTCCAGTGTTTTTTCATAATCCGATTCTGGCGACCTACAGAATCTCTATTTCGTTTTCAATGGGCCACTCAGTATATTCTTGAGGTATGTTAGCTACCACATACTGAGAGATACAACAATTTTCGAAATTTGTCACCTGAATATGAAAAAAAACGCGAAATACAGCATCAGACAAAATTAGTCATCATCAAGTATAAGCAGGGAGATGAAAGGAAGGGCAGATCACTGCAAGAAAAAAAAACTCACCCAAGGTTCCACCTTATCCGCCATGCCAGTATTCTTCGCGTCCATTGCCCTGAGCACCACCTGCTGCTTGTCGCACATCTCCTGAAATGGGATCATCATATAGATTATGTCTCTAAGGAAATAAGATGCCTCATTCCTAAATTCAAACATTTGTGAAACTTATTGAATATTCGTGATTTAGAAATGATACATTTTTTTTTTAATGTTCTGGTTCTCACGAAAAGGAATAGCCTGTAATGTTCAGAGAACATCGTGAGAACCAAGGAAAATTAGGTAGGAATTGGTGTTCTTCTCGAATTTCTGGAGGTTTTATGCCTCGGGGAACACCTTCCTTGGCAATGTGTTCCAGAGCCTCGCTGTTTGTTGAATGAACGAGTCTTTGAAAAGAGATGCTCTGCAGGTCTCCAAAGTGACCACGAAGGGGTGCAAAGCCTCAACTCGACGGGTTAATCTCGCGGGGACTGCCAAGGGAGGTACAATTGTTGATATTTTAGAAGAGCATCGTCCATAAAAATATCTATAAAATAGAGCCAGATCGCCAACTTTTCTACGCTGTTCCAGAGAAGTGAGCGAGTTTGTGAGCGAGGCATCACCCACGAGACGAATTGTCCTTTTATGGAGAGAATCCAACAGTTTTGGGTATGTTTGGGTGCTGCACTCCAAATATGGGAACAGTATTCCAGGACAGGTCGGATCTGTGCCTTAAAGATCATAAGCTGCTTTAGTTCAATCTCAATTAGTTTATGGCATATTAGGATGGGGTGGAGTGAAGCACACAAAAATGGATTTTAAAAATTATTTATGAAAGGGATTATTTATTTGTTTCCAACTGAACTTTTATACAGTGTGACCCACTTATAATGGAAACACCCCTGTATCTTACGTAATCGTTGGGAAGGATCCTGAAATTTGCTGGAGCGAGAGATATATACCAAAAATGCACTCTATGACTAAGTGAGGTCATCTTCAGTGATAAACACTGCTCGCCAACAGCCATGGAACCACCACAATTTCCGGAAAAAGATATTAGGAGTCAAAATAGGTTGAAAATCACTTCGGATTCGGAATCAGGACGTCCAATTCACTGACTATATATATTATTCTTGGAAAATCATTTTCTGAAATTAATTATTGAGGTAGGGTTCTGAAATTTGCAGGAGGAAGGGAAAGTCCAAAGATAAAGTTACGGGGATGCTTCCGTAAAAAGTGCGACAAAATTCAATTTTCAGAACTGAAAATTTTCCAGGAAAATATGAATAGTTAGTGAATTGGGCGACCTGATTTCGAATCAGAAGTGATATTCGACCTATTTGACTCCTAATATCATTTTACGGAAATTGAGGTGGTTCCATGGCTGTTGGTGAGCAGTGTATATCACTTGGTCATAGAGTGCATTTTTTGGTATATCTCTCGCTCCAGCAGATTTCAGGATCCTTCCCAACGATTACGTAAGATAAAGGGGGGTTTCCATTAAAAGTGGGTCACACTGTATAAGGAAAATGGATATAAATCAACTCTATACAGGGTGTTCCGTTGGGAAACGGAAATACTTTGACGGTGGATAGGGGTGACCAAGGTGGTTCTGAATATACCATTTATGTTGGGTCTTACATGTTTCATTATCGAGATATAGGGTGTTTGATCAATTCTGGTCATTTCTTTGAAGGCTCATAGCATACGAACCACCTGGTATATTCTCTTGATATTTGGTAGACGTGTTTCCCCACTGCTACCTCAGCGACTTGTAGATCCGTCGAAAAAAATTCCAGGCACGGATTAACAAAAATTCAACATATTATTGGGTCCTCAAAAAAACATCCTGTATGTTTGAATTTACAAAATTTGCTCACATATCTGAAGAGAGCTCAAATGTTAAATAGATTTGTGTACTTTCTGTTTCCGTATGCTATTTTACTACTGAATTTCTGAAGCTGTAATGAGGGATTTCTGAATTTCAATAGCTGAAAACGGAATATTTTCAGTTTTTCATATCGCATTATATCGAATTTATGGCAATTCTGCAGTCAGTTTTTATAACAAAAAAGCTAGCAAAGCCACTTTCGAATTTCAACATGAGACACATCTCATAATTTTAGGCTCATTTTAGGCTAATTTATTACCCCATTCCCAATTTTCTTGCTCCTCTCTATGATAGAAAAATCTGTGGCTTTGCTAGCTTCAGCCGAACTCAGCAGAGCCATTTTTGAAAATATTATATTTTTCACAAAGACATATCGGTATCAAAAGGCTAATTTTAGGCTAATTAATTACCCTATTTTCGAATTTTTTGCTCGATGTTTCAAGCAAAAAAAAACCCGAAACGATTCGTCGAAATACTCGTTTATTCACTATACATCATGCCTATCTATCAAGAGCATATTTCATGACGATTTTTCAAGACTTAGTATTGATCATGAGCTCAATAACTATTGCATTTTGGAATTTTTTGCTGCATATGTTTTAAAACAAACCTGTGGCTTTGCTGGCTTCGGGCGAACTCAGCAGAGCCATTTTTGAAAATATTATATTTTTCACCGATTTGATATATCGGTTTTGAAAGGCTAATTTTAGGCTAATTAATTACCCTATCTCTAAATTTTTTGCTCAAACAAGACAATTTGTCGAAAAACGCGTCATTCACTGTACATTATGTATTTCTATAAAAAGCATATTTTATGACGATTTCATGAGGAAAAGTGTTAGTATTGATTGTAAGCTTGATAACTATCCCATTTTGTAATTTTTTGCTGCATATTTTTTATAACAAACCTGTCGCTTTGCTAGCTTCTTTAGTATGCTGAGTGAGTGCTTGAAGCATAGACTTGAAGCTAGCAAAGCCGCAGGTTTCTTTAAAAAAAATATGCAGAAAAAAATTTCAAAATGGGATAGTTATTGAGTCTACAATCGATACTAACATTTTGTCTTGAAAAATTGTCATAAGATATGTTTCTGATACATAATGTACAGTGAATGGCGCGTATTTCGACAAATTGTCTTGTATTTTTTCTGTTTGAAACGTTGAGCAAACAACTCAAAAATAGAGTAATTAATTAGCCTAAAATTAGCCTCTCAATACCGATAGATCAAATCGGCGAAAAATATAATATTTTCAAAAATGGCTCTGCTGAGTTCGCCCGAAGCCAGCAAAGTCACATCAGGGTTATTTTAAAGAATATGCAGCAAAAAATTCCAAAATGCAATAGTTATTGAGCTCATGATCAATACTAACACTTTGTCTTGAAAAATCGTCATGAAATATGATCTTGATAGATAGGCATGATGTATAGTGAATAAACGCGTATTTCGACGAATCGTTTCGGTTTTTTTTTGCTTGAAACGAGCAAAAAATTCGAACATTGGGTAATTAATTAGCTTAGAATTAGCTCTTCAATATGGATATATCAAATCAGTGAAAAATATATTATTTTAAAAAAGTTCACCCGAAGCCAGCAAAGCCACAGGTTTCTTTAAAAGAAATATGTAGCAAAAAATTCCAAAATGTGGTAGTTATCAAGCTTACAATCAAAACGAACACTGCCTCACGAAATCGACATAAGATCATAAGATATGCTTTTGATAGAAATACATAATGTACAGGGTGTTTCACCATGAATGTCCCCCCCTCTAGCTCACTTATTCTTGAACCGATTTAAAAATTTGAAAAATAATCTAATATGAATTTTCACAGTTTTTTTCCCGTTGCATCAGAAAATACAGGGTGCTCGGAACAAATGATCTACAGAGTACTACTTGATTTTTTCAAACGGAATACCCTGTATTTCATTGTATTTTTAGATTCTTCCTGAAGAGCTGATTTCAGCAATGTATCACACTTGGGGTCTAGCGGGAATGATAACAGAGATATAGGGTGTTCAAAATCGAGATTTTTCTAGTTTAGGATGTTTTTGTCTCGAAACTATTCATTATTGGTCGAAACGGCTTCTATGTTTCCATCTTAACTTTTGATTTACTGTCTACTGACATTTAATTGAAAAAATACAGGGTGGTGCAGAATTCAGAATCTTGATCACCCGGTATATGTCCCAATTAAATATCAGTAGATAGTTAATCAAAAGTTGAGATAGGGACATGTAAGCCGTTTTGACCAATTATGAATAGTTTCGACACAAAAAATTCTTGAACTTGGAAAGTCTCGATTTTTCATCATCATTTATTGAATAAATACTACTGATGATTTCAAATCAATCAGAACAATGTTCAATTGAGTAAGTTACCTTGTATAATCTCGAATACACATAGAGAAATTTAGAATCATTGGCATTTCCATAGTACTTATCTTATTCATATTGTTACATACATATCTTGAAGTTCCTTATACTACTGATAATTTTCATCAAGTTCAATGTTTTATTTTTATTCAATTTTGTTGAGAATTTTTATCAAGTTTAATGTTATTTTCACATTTTATTTTGTTGAGAATTTTGATTTAGTTTAATTTCAATATTATATTTCAAATCCACTAAAAAAGAGTAACCAGCCATGGGTGCCTCATGGGTGGTCTGGAAACTTACTAATATTCGATACTCTCATGTTCCAAAATGGATATTATCGGATATTATATAGGTAATTTTTGAACAATCAAAAATTCATTTAAAAACAGCTTCAATTTGTGGTAACGAAAAAAATATTTCACCCGCCACTGTGAGCTGCGGCTTGTCAAAGGATTGTCGACATGCAGCCGGTTAAAACTTTTTTTGGCTTTTTCAACTGACTTCGTATAAACTATAATTATCAATTGAAAATATTCGCCGTCTCCCCGACTTTAATCCTGTTGGTCAACCCCATGCTAGACGTTGTAATGTAAGTACTGTTTTTTTGTAAGTGTTGTTTTGCGTTGTGTTTCATTTGGCAAGTAATTATGTTCTTTTTTCTTTGCTAACCTGCCATGCGGCAAGCATTTACCCACGATTTTTTTCTTTTAATTAATTAAATAAATGTCGAATTTTATACCAAACTTTTCATTTGGGGATGAATGTGAATGGGTGGTGAAATGATCAAATTTTCGTATAGAGGTCAAGTTGTTTTCAATCGGCCTATTTTGGTATCCAGTTCACCCTGTAAATGGGAGAAAAATCAAGTTGACTGTAATATCACAGGCAACTTGATTTAGTCGACAATGTTCTGGGACATTCTGTATGAAAATTGGGACTGAACCACAACCGCGATTTCAGCGGCGTTGCCATTTTATTTTCTGGAGTGAGAAATAAAAAAATGCTGTCTTTAAGTTGATCGAGGAGGCGTTTTTAGTAGATTATTTGTGAATTTCGCTCCTCGTCAGATGATTTGCCCCAAAATGTCACTGAGTTCCAACAAATTTTTCCATCAGGGAGCCTAAAAGAAAAATCCAATAGCTTGTCAGTGACACTTTGTTTGGAAAAAAGTTTGAGGAGAATTTTTATTTCCTGGAAATAATCAAGTGACATAAGTACAAAAAAAATCCTTCATCTTGTAATTTCATCAACACTTTTCAAAGAAATAATGTGCAACTTCTAGGGGCGTACCTAGGTATATTTTCCTGAATGTTCTGCCTAATGTTGATAGGGAAGCAAAGTTAATATAAAAAATACTGCCATCTCGAAATGTCTTCGGCACCATCAGAAGGAAAAAAAATGTGGGACTTCCAGAGGCCTACCTTTTATTTTCTGAGTATTTTGCCGAAATTTAGACAATCAATTTTTTCTAAGGAAAGTAAATATAAAAAATGCAGAAATATTCAAATTTCTTCAGCACTATGCAAAAAAATTAAAACTACTCATAGGCGTGATATTCCATTTTCTGAGGATGTCAGAAATTACTGCTGGAAACTTGAAACTTTTTCAGCGCTAACAGGGCGTACCCAATCTTTTTCTGAAAGGCTAAATCATATCGGAATTTCGAAAAAAAAAAGACTGTCCGAATTGTGATAAATATGGCGACCTTTAAGGCGTCCCCATTTCATGTCAAAATCGAAATTTTCAAATTCATACACCAGCATAACAGCTAACAGAAATTGCAACTTCAGGGGCGTACGTATAATTTTTATAAAGGGATCTTCGTAGAGCACCTCACCTGATTTCTGATATAGTCGCCAGTTCTTCTAATTTGTTCTTCAATTCTTCATTTTCTTTTTTCAATTCTATTTCTGCCCGATCTGAAAATTCATTGAAATGAATCAGACTTCTAATAGTTCTGATTATTTTGAATTACCAACTTCGTAAGCCTTCATATCTCTCAAAATTTGTGTTTTAATTTATCCCAACAAACAGTAAATTGACATTTTCAGATCAATAAAAATGAGATGGTTCCAAAACGGTGAAACACTTGAGGTCACAAAATACAGGATGTTATATAAAAAAAGTGCCGATACGGTGAATCATCCTGTAAAATGAAATTTAGAGGTGGAATGTAGAACATCTAAATTGAAAATGACGTGTATCAGACTTCAAATAGGCCTCTAGTTCAGAAAATATAGAATTTATTCCATACTTTATGGACACAGTGTATATAATTTGACAATAATTGAGCCAAAAATGAAAATTCAACTAAATGATTTGAAAACTCTACAAAATGATGCAAATTTCATTTTTCAACGTCAACCGAAGCATAAAAACACTTCCTTTTCAAACGAAATGTTTTTTTTTTGTTTCATAATTCAACAATATATCACGATTTGATATTCAATTATCTGTATCGGGATAAAATGTAAATAAAATTCCATTAGTTGAAACTAGTATCAAAATTATCAAGCCATGAAAATAGTGTAGTTATTTCTTAGAAACAATTTTGTTTTTTTTGTTACATAATTAAAAAAAGTACTACAATATGAGTTCCTGATAATTTTGATGGAATTGTTGACACGTTTTTTCAAAAAAAAGCGTGGGACATTTCAACAATGTGGATTTTAGTTTGTACACTGATTCCCATTAATTCACAGATTTTATTTCTACAATTCCTCTTAAACCCTCATAATTCTATTTGAACTCCCACAATTCCACCTAAATTCTCACCATTCTCCTATAATTGCCATCAAATACTGACGATCAAATTTTATTTAAATACTGTATTTGCTTGTGCGTCTTATATAACCCAACCTTGAACTGTTCAAATACCCATTTTTATTCTTGTGCACATTATAATCTAACACTCAATTCATTGAATCTGCAATCTATCGATCTGCTAAATGTTCCACAAAATTAGATACGATGCGCCTTCTAGTTTGGCTCACATACAACCAAGTTATCTCCTATTATTTAGACATATATGTAGGTAATGTAGGCCAAACTAGAAGATCTATAAAAACTAGATTCAAGGAACATGTTTTTTTAATAAAATTAATAATAATAACATTTTTCTGCAACCGACACAAAAGTCGTCCATTAAGATACCAAAATTAGCTCTTAATTTGACGTTTCTATTACTGACACAAAAATAGGTATGTTGCTAGGCAACATATTTAGTTCCTAGGAGCTTAAGTTGAATTATAGTTCAACTTTAGCTCCTAGGAACTAAAAAGGATGTACTGGACGTCATCAAGAATAAAAAACATTGTGACGGTTGGTTATTTGGGTTGAGACGCATACCTGATTTGTTTCCGATTTCAGCAGATTTGGCATTTCATTCCCATGCTGGAGATATAAATACACCTTATTATAGTTTAGTATTGGAATTATAAACATCTCAGTTAAGTATTTCTGTTTTGATCAGGGAAGCCTCCAAGATTCAAATACTTGCTTGATCTGTATGTTTTTGAATAATCACGGCAAGCAATAGTTTTTTTGTCTCACACAACGATATTGTTTAGCTTCCATTTGATTATCGAGTCAAACACAGTGTAGTATGGAGAGGAATAAATAATCACTATTATCATTGTTGATATGCTCACTAACCTAACATTTTCCACGTCTTGTTCCTATATAGCTGGCACTGGCGCGGTATTTGCCATTAGAGCACCTGGTCTATACACGAATATGTCACTCTGTGGTTGTATTTATATTGAAACAACAATTCGAACATCCTAGAAAACCTAACCTGCTGTTAATGCAGGTAGAATATTCTCACCACATGGATTATTTGTCAATGTTTGTTGCATTGCATACATATGGCACGGCATTGGTGGTTACTTCACATGTTTATTTGAGTTAATTGTTTCGTTTGCAGAAAAAAAAGACTTGTTTCTTTCGAATCAAAAGTGACTTTGTTCGACTCGCAAATTTTGCTTTCGCTCGGCTTCGCTAAACGCTCCGCCTCGCAAATGCAGAATGCGCTTGTCAAACAAAGTGTCACTTTTGATCCTAATAAAACAATCTACTATTATTTGTAATACATTGCTACAATTCCTAAATTGTTACCCATTTCTAAGTAAATATTGTTATCAATAAATGTAGGCATATCATATTTTGAAGTAACAATTATTCATTAAAGATTATGAGAGGGTTAATATAAATCGTTTTTATAGTTTCTATCATGGAATTGCATGAACAGACAAACAGTATTCATACTGGTATAAGACTGTTCATGATGTTGCATTTATAATTATACAATATTATTTCATTGAATGTAACTTTGATATGTTTAGCGACATGAAAAGTAACACATTTGTGTCATACATTGACCCAATATTTACAGCCTGATTTGCTTGTGACGTTATTTGTTTAACCTAACCTTGAACTGTTCAAATACCCCTTTTCATTCTTGTCCACATCATAATCTAACACTCGATTCATTGAATCTGATATCTATCGATCTGCTAAATGTTCCTCAAACCTAGATATGATGCGCCTTCTAGTTTGGCCCACATACAACCAGGTTATCTCCTATTATTTAGACATATATAGGTAATGTAGGCCAATCTAGAAGATCTACCAAATAAGATTCAAGGAACATGTTTTTCGGTTGATTCTTTCGATATTTTTTGCGACATGAAAAATAACACATTTGTGACTTACCTTCACCCAATATTTACAGCCTGATTTGCTTGTGCCGTTATTTGTATAACCTAACCTTGAACAGTTCAAATACCCCTTTTCATTCTTCTACACATTATAATCTAACACTCGATTCATTGAATCTGCAATTTATCGATCTGCTAAATGTTCCTCAAACCTAGATATGATTCGCCTTCTAGTTTGGCCCATATACAACTAAGTTATCTCATATCATTTAGACATAGGGAGGTAATGTAGGCCAAACTAGAAGATCTATCAAAACTAAATTCAAGGAACATATTTCTCGGTTGATTCTTTCGATATTTCAACACATTTGTGACTTACCTTTGCCCAAGTTTTGCAGTCTGAGCTGCTGTATCGTATTTTTGAGTTCATTAATCTCTGCCACTTTGGCGTCTTGATTGACGATGGGTTTGTTTCTGATCTTTCTTGCCCTATCAGCGTACCTCAAGGTCGACAACGTTTCGTCTGTATCATAATCGGCAGGACTCACACAAGCTATCATCAGTGTTATGCCATTACCGCCCAACGAATCTAAAAATCAACAGGACATGAACGACTTCTAGAGATGATAATAAGAGAAAAAAATTATTCGTTTGTGAAAGGAGGTTGTCTTATGTATTATAAATATACTATTTTTTTCTGTAACGAAAAAACCAAGATTTAATATTACAATGTATATTACGGGTGCCCCTGAGCTTTCAAGCCAGAAGATTACTAGGTTATTTACGAAAGCGTCTAGGGGTCACACAATTAAAATATTTTTTTCCAATATATTGGAAAAAAATCTAATATATTAAAAAAAAATCCAATATATTGAAAAAAAATCCAATATATTAAAAAAAAATCTAATCTATTGAAAAAAAAATCCAATATATTGAAAAAAAAAATCCAATATATTGAAAAAAAAATCCAATATATTGGATTTTTCTTCATTATTCAAATCCAGGAAAGGTGAGTAGTGAGTGATGAATGTGTCAAGCGGCTTGTTGTGCTAGAGTGCATTAGTAGTGGTCTGCTCGCTTTGACTGATTATAATATTACCACGACTCAATACGGAAATGGACAATGATGGAGATTTACTAAACGTCTCAAGAAATCATACTGATTTTATAATAAAGGATTATTTTCTGAGTGGCATGCACTATGAAGAAATACTAGCCTTTCTGTATTTGAGACATAATATGGTAATGAGTTTATCAACACTCAAACGTAAACTGAGAAGTATGAAATTGAATAGAAAAAGGAATTATTCCGCATTATCCACTGTGATCGATTTCATCCAAGCTCAGTTGAAGACGTCTGGTCAATTATGTGTGAAGAGTTGTTCCAAAACTGTTGAAACTCACTTTCAGCAATCTCTTTATTATGAGGGACTAGATCCGAACTTTGTATCTTGTCTATCTTATATCTGATTTGCTTTCTTAGCAATTTCACCCGCTTTTTCCTTTTCCGTCTATATTACAGTGACCAGGGATCCAGCACAATTTGATATTGAAATTATTTTCTTCAAGTTCATGCCATCAAAAACATGTCATTGGTATGAATTTGTTCTCGGTACATTATTTTGTAATCCAGATATCGCGCTTTCAGAATCAGGATATATACAGGGTGTTTCATGAGAAGACTCACATAGCCAAATGGTTAATAGGGGAAATCAAGTCGAGTTGATGTATATACAGGGTGTTTCCTAACTACGGTTCCTAACTGGAGGGGGTGACTTGTTAGGTCATTTCAAGAAGAAAAGTTCCTATGAACATATGTCCGGAATTGCTTCGTTTCTGAGATACAGGGCGTTGAAATTAAAGGAAAAAAAAAGGTAATTATAAAATATCATGAATATCCTGGAATCGATTTGGTTGAAATTTGGAACTTTTATTTGTCAAATTTTCTAAAATTTCAGCATATTAAGTGTCAATTAAATTTTTGTCGGAAATAACAAAAAACTAATTTCTCCAATGCAGGTGTTCATGATATGCAATACAGTTGCTTTGATTTTTTTTCTCGAAAACGAAGCTGCATATGAAGAAAATGCAGGAGGCCAAAAAGTTGTATTTTGAGTTGCTTAATCTGGAAAAAAATTTAAATTCATCAAAAAAGTCAGTGGTGTACTTTTTTTCCACAATATTGTTAGCTGTGGTGCCCACTGAGACGCCACTGGCCCCAATAATTCCAATATTGATATGCCTAAATAAGCGCCTTATTAGTTCAAATGAAAGTATCAAATTCCAACCAAATCGGTTCAAGGATATTCATGATATTTAATAATTACCGTTTTTTTTCTTCAATTTCATCGCCCTGTATCTCAAAAACGAAGCAACTCCGGACATATGTTAGTAGGAACTTTTCTTTCCAAAATGACCTGACATATCACCACCCGCAGTTAGGAACCGTAGTTAGGAAACACCCTGTATATATAAAAACATTTTTTGACCCTCCATAACGAAGATACAGGGTATTATGTGAAATTGTTATATAACTTTGATGGCCGATATTACAGAAATGATTCATCGTAATCTGCTGAAATTTGGCAGCGACGTATCTCTACTGAAACTTTTCAAGATTACATATTATGCAAAAAAATATCCAGATCCGGACTTGGGAAAATTTCATGTTTCATTGTAATGTCGAAAAAGTTCACTTTGTGATCACTTTTCTCGAAAAATTCCATCAGTATCAGAAAGATCAGACAAAATGATATAAGAACTGCTCTTCAATTTACACATCACACTTTGGCCGGTTCAATAAAAAAATATTTTTCCTACATTTTTGTTTAATAATAATTGACAGAAGAATAGACGAGAAGAAAAAACACGATATTTTTTTATCGAAAATCCAGATAGATATTATTATTCCTGACTTTTTTTTATTGGTTTATATTGAAGTAATGATAAGATATCAAGTAGGCCCTGTTTTCCATTTGTGTGACGAGACGTGACGTTTGTTGATGATCCGAACTGATAGGTAGGTATCAGGCTAGTACTAAGTAGGTACCAACTGATGAAATTACGACATAAGGATTCATGTGCCCATATTATGGTGATTTATCAAATTAGTTATGCCATCACGCATAAACTTCGCTCCATTTTTTCTTATTGATACACTTCTGCAAGTGATATAAGGATGCGCATTTGCTATTTATTCAAAATTCCTAATGTTCATCCTCGTGAAGGTTTTACTGCAACGTATTTTTGGGTCTGGAAATATTCTTTTCGTCTTGTTCAGCATTTGGAATATGAAGTGGCACCTAGGTGCAAGAATATTCTGATTACCAATGTTTACCTATCAACAAACGCCACGTTACAAAAAATAAAAACAGGGCCTACTTTATAACAAATTTGTAATATAGAGTTACGAGTAATCATATCTATCTAGAAGTTCGGTCAAAAACTAACATGTCAAATCATAAAAAAATCAGAACTTCTCTTTTCTGTCAATTTCTATCCAATAGAAATGTACAAAAAAAAATAATTTACACGAATCCAGTTGAAAGTTGAACGTATTTTTGTTCCATACTTTTTTATTGAACCGGTCAAAGTATGCCGTGTAAATTGAAGAGCAGTTTTTATAGCATTTTGTCTGATTTTTCTGAATCTGATGGAATTTTTCGAGAAAAGTGGTCACAAAGTTATATAACAATTTCACATAATACCGAGCATAATACCCATCATCTTCGTTATGGAGGGCTAGAAAATGTTTTCATATACAGTGTGTCCACCTTAAGGACGATTTCATGAGGCCAAGTGTCAGTATTGATTGTAAGCTTGATAACAATCCCATTTTGGAATTTTTTGCTACATATTTTTTAAAAATATTATGCCTTTGATAGAAATACATAATGTACAGTGAATGACGCGTATTTCGACAAATTGTCTTGTATTGTTTCTGTTTGAAACGTTGAGCAAAAAATTCGAAAATAGGGTAATTAATTAGCCTAAAATTAGCCATTTGATCTCAATATATCAAATCGGTGAAAAATCTATGTTTTCAAAAATGGGTCTGCTGAGTTCGGCCGAAGCTAGCAAAGCCACAGATTTTTCTATGATAGAGAGGAGCAAGAAAATTGGGAGTAGGGTAATAAATTAGCCTAAAATGAGCACTACATTCTCACTATATCAGATATTGAAAAAAAAAATGATTTTCAAAAAAGGCTTTGCTGAGTTCGCCCGAAGCCAGCAATGCCACAGGTTTCTTTTAAAAAATATGCAGCAAAAATCCCAAAATCGCATAGTTATTGAGCTTACAATAATAACTAACTCTGTGCTTTATAAAATCGTCATAAAAAAATTATGCTGTTGATAGAAATCCTTGATGTATAGTGAATAACGCGTATATCGACTAATCTTTTCATGTTTTCTTTGTTCGAAAAGTTGAGCAAAAACTTCGAGAAAAGGGTAATCAATTAGCCTAAAATAAGCACTACATTTTGACTATATCAGATCATCAAAAAAAATTGTTTTTCAAAAATGGCTCTGCTGAGTTTGCCCGAAGCTAGCAAACCCAAAGGTTTCTTTTAAAAAATATGCAGCAAAAAATGACATAATTGAATGGTTATTGAGCTCACAATCAATTCTAACACATGCAATAGTTATTGAGCTTATAATCAATACTAACACTTTGTCTTGAAAAATCGTCATAAAATATGCTTTTGATAGAAATACATATCGGGTGGTCACAAAAAAACCGGAAGTTTTCATTTTCCTCGTGGTTTCATCATTTCTCAACCGAATTCGAATTTCTTGGCGTCGTTTCATAGCTAGAGGGCTATAGTATACAGTGAAATATTTGAAAATTTCATGATGAACAAAAACAAAATGGCGGATTCTACCAAAGTATTGTCGTTTACAAAAACCGCTGGAGAAAATTACAATCAGATTTTTTCCAACCTATAGCGATGTCATCTTAGGTTATTCATTTCTGAGGAGAATGAGTACTCGAACATCGAAATCGAACAAATAGTCCAGTAGATACACTCATTTCTTTGCAATTTGTTATGGAGTTAATGTGCTAATCTGGTATAAGCGATTATTATTATTTTGCTTCAGGCTTCATGAAAATTCTATCGAATTTGGATTTCTTAGAGTTATTTCAAAGATAAAGAACTGTAGTACAGGGTGATTCACCATAAATGTCCCCCCCTCTAGCTCACTTATTTTTGAACCGTTTTAAAAATTTTAAAGATAATCTAAAATGATTTTTCAGAAATTGTTTTCCCGTTGCATCAGAAAATACAGGGTGCTCGGAACAAACGATCTACAGAGTACTAATTGATTTTTTAAAATGGAACACCCTGTATTTTATTGTATTTTTAGATTCTTTTCCTGAAAGGCTAATTTCATCAATGTATCACACTTGGGGTTTAGCGGGAATTATTACAGAGATATAGGGTGTTTAAAATCGAGATTTTCCAACTTTAGGATTTTTTTGTGCCGAAACTATTCATTATTGGTCAAAACGGCTTCTATGTTCCCATCTCAACTTTTAATTTACTATCTAGTGAAATTTAATTAGAACATATACAGGTTGGTTCAAGATTCAGAATTCTGGCCACCCTGTATCTGTTCCAATTATTAAATGTCAGTAGATAGTAAATCAAAAGTTAAGATACGGACATGAAAACCGCGTGATCCATAATGAATAGTTTCGTCACAAAAAAATCCTAAAGTTGAAAATCTCGATTTTGAACACCCTATATCTCTGTAATCAGTCCCGCTAGACCCCAAGTGTGATCCATTGATGAAATCAGCTCTTCAGGAAGAATCTAAAAATACAATGAAAAATAGGGTGTTTCATTTAAAAAAATCAAATAGTACCCTGTAGATCGTTTGTTCCGAGCACCCTGTATTTTCTGATCTAGCGGAAAAAACTTTATCGAAAATCATTCAAGATGATATTTCAAATTTTGAAATCGGTTTAAAAATAACTGAGCTAGAGGGGGGGGGCATTTATGGTGAATCACCTTGTACACAATGGAACATTTGAAAATCCAATAATTGAAAGAAACAAAATGGTGGATAATCCAGAATTTTTGTGATTTTCAAAAATCTCTGGCGAATGAAAATATGTTAATTCTTCCAATCAGGACCGATACAATTTTAGATCATTGATTTCTAAAAAGAATGAGCACCCGAACATCTGAATCGAATAATTAGTCCAGGAGAAACAGGTTCTTTTTGGCAAAGTGTTATGGAGTGAATGTGCCAATCCCGTGAAAAGAATTACTTTTAGTTTGCTTCTGGCTTTATCAGAATTCAATCGAATTTGGATTTCTTAATGCCATTCCAAAGCTGAATAGCTGTAGTACACAGTGGAACATCTGAAAATTTCATAATTGAAGAAAAAAACGGAATGGTTGAGTAATCCTAACTTCCGTGATTTACAGCCAGAAACTATTCAATAAATTTCGGCAACGTTGCTTTCTTTGATTCTTGTTTTGTTCGCTAACATAAAAAGTGTACGATCTCTTCAAAGTTTCAAGACTAAAATCTAATTTTTTCGAATAATATCCTTAACTGTTCTCCCTTTCATGCCTGTTCGGTATGAAACTTGACAGACTATTAGAAATCAATGATCGAAAATTGTATCGGTCCCGATTGAAAGAATAAACATTTTTTTATTCGCCAGAGATTTTTGAAAATCACAAAAATTCTGGATTCTCCACCATTTTGTTTCTTTCAATTATTGGATTTTCAAATGTTCCATTGTGTACTACAGTTCTTTATCTTTGAAATAACTCTAAGAAATCGAAATTTGATAGAATTTTCATGAAGCCTGAAGCAGAATAATAATAATCGTTTATACGAGATTAGCACATTATCTCCATAACAGATTGCAAGAAATGAGTGTATCTACTGGACTATCTGTTCCATTTCGATGTTCGAGTACTCATTCTCTTCAGAAATGAATAGCCTAAGATGACATCGGTACAGGTTGAAAAAAATCTGATTTTAATTTTCTCCAGCGGTTTCTGTAAATGACAATACCTTGGTAGAATCCGCCATTTTGTTTTTGTTCATCATGAAATTTTCAAATATTTCACTGTATACTATAGCCCTCTAGCTATGAAACGACGCCAAGAAATTCGAATTCGACTGAGAAATGATGAAACCACGAGGAAAATAAAAACTTCCGGTTTTTTGTGACCACCCGATAATGTATGTACAGTGAATGACGCATATTTCGACAAATTGTCTTGTATTTTTTCTGTTTCAATCGTTGAGCAAAAAATTCAAAAATAGAGTAATTAATTAGCCTAAAATCAGCCTTTCAATACCGATATGTACCTATATCAAATCGGTGAAAAATATAATATTTTCAAAAATGGCTTTGCTGAGTTCGCCCGAAGCCAGCAAAGCCACAGGTTTGTTTTAAAAATATGCAGCAAAAATTTCCAAAAGGCAATAGTTATTGAGCTCGTAATCAATACGTACACTTTGTCTTGAAAAATCGTCATAATATATGCTTTTGATAAATATTATGCATGATGATGTATAGTGAATAAACGCGTATTTCGACGAATCGTTTCGGTTTTTTTTTGCTTTAAACAAAGAGCAAAAAATTCGAACATAAGGTAATTAATTAGCCTAGAATTAGCTCTTCAATATGGATATTATATCAAATCAGTGAAAAATATATTATTTTAAAAAATGGCTCTGCTGAGTTCACCCGAAGCCAGCAAAGCCACAGGTTTCTTTTAAAAAAATATGTAGCAAAAAATTCCAAGATGTGGTAGTTATCAAGCTTACAATCAATACGAACACTTTGCCTCACGAAATCGACATAAGATATGTTTTTGATAGAAATACATAATGTACAGGGCGATTCACCATAAATGTCCCCCCCTCTAGCTCACTTATTCTTGAACCGATTTAAAAATTTCAAAAAGAATCTAATATGATTTTTTTTCCGTTGCATAAGAAAATACAGGGTGCTCGGAACAAATGATCTACAGAGTACTACTTGATTTTTTCAAACGGAATACCCTGTATTTCATTGTATTTTTAGATTCTTCCTAAAGAGCTGATTTCATCAATGTATCACACTTGGGGTCTAGCGGGAATGATTACAGAGATATAGGGTGTACAAAATCGAGATTTTTCTAGTTTAGGATGTTTTTGTCTCGAAACTATTCATTATTGGTCGAAACGGCTTTTATGTTTCCATCTTAACTTTTGATTTACTGTCTACTGACATTTAATTGGAACATTTACAGGGTGGTTCAAGATTCAGAATTCTGATCACCCTGTATCTGTTCCAATTATTAAATGTCAGTAGATTGTAAATGGAATGGAAGCCGTTTTGACCGATGACGAATAGTTTCGTCTCGAAAAAATCCTAAAGTTGAAAAATCTCGATTTTGAACACCCTATATCTCTGTCATCATTCCCGCTAGACCCCAAGTGTAATACATTGACCAAATCAGCTCTTCAGGGAAAATCTAAAAATACAATGATAAATAGGGTGTCCCATAAAAAAATCAAATAGTACCCTGTAGATCGTTTGTTCCGAGCACCCTGTATTTTCTGATGTAGCGGAAAAAAACTTTATCGAAAATCATTCAAGATGATATTTCAAATTTTGAAATCGGTTTAAAAATAACTGAGCTAGAGGAGTGGACATTTATGGTGAATCACCCTGTACAGTAAATGACGCGTATTTCGACAAATTGTCTTGTATCTTCTCTGTTTGAAACTTTGAGCAAAAAATACGAAAATAGGGTAATTAATTAGCCTAAAATCAGCCCTTTAATCTCAATATATCAAATCGGTGAAAAATCTATGTTTTCAAAAATGGCTCTGCTGAGTTCGGCCGAAGCTAGCAAAGCCACAGGTTTTTCTATGATAGAGAGGAGCAAGAAGATTGGGAATAGGGTAATAAATTAGCCTAAAATGAGCACTACATTCTCACTATATCAGATATTAAAAAAATATTGTTTTTCAAAAATGGCTTTGCTGAGTTCAGCCGAATAGTTAGCAAAGCCACAGTTTTTCTATGATAGGGAGGAGCAAAAAATTCGGGAATGGGGTAATAAATTAGCCTAAAATAAGCCTAAAATTATGAGATGTGTCTCATGTTGAAATTCGAAAATGGCTTTGCTAGTTTCATTGGTATAAAAAGAAATACCAATGAAGCAAAGCCATTTTCGAATTTCAACATGGGACACATCTCATAATTTTAGGCTAATTTTAGGCTAATGTTTTACCTCATTCCCGAATTTTTTGCTCCTCCCTATCATAGAAAAATCGGTGGCTTTGCTAGCTTCGGCCGAACTCAGCAAAGCCATTATTGTAAAACAATATTTTTTGAATATCTGATATAGTGAGAATGTAGTGCTCATTTCAGGCTAATTCATTAATTATTTTTTATTGTTATCAATGGTCTTCATATTGTCTTTGATTTCATCTTCAGAAAAAATTTTGTCTATATCTTTCACTATGGATTTGGAGGTTATCATATTATTGGGAATGGAGGCTCCAAATTTATTGGCAGAGAGAAATTGATGGTCTTCCAGTAAATTATTTGCTTCTTCCTTATTTTTAAATGATAGCATTAATCTATTTTTACCCCGTTGATCAATTGAGCTAGAATTATATCTATGGCTTTGATGAAAAATGTTTCCATCCATGGATTCAATGTATATGCAATAAGGGCCTAAGTCTGAAAATTCATATCTATTATCAAAACTATTTGCTCCAAGATTTTTTATTGGCACATCATTGACATCCATAAAATCTTTTTCATTTGAGTTACAATTATTCATCTTTTCTACCTGAGCTTTAATCTTTCAAGTTCCACAAGTTTTTTTTGAGAGTTGTTATTGGCTTTTTTAATAACAAGGTGTGATAAAATAGTTATTTTGTCAGAAAGTTTGACCTCGAAATCGTTCTCTAGATTTAACAAAAAATGCCCTTCTTTGACAACTTCATCAAGCTCTTCTGCAAATTCCTTATTAATATAATTATAATTATGCCGGTTATTAATTCACTACATCTTTGAAAGTCAAATTCATTATTATGAGCAAAAATGAGTAGGTTATTTACAGCTTGCCTAGTATTTGGAGAACTATTTATAAGGTTTTGTGAAATTGAGATATCTTCATCAAACCTCGACAAATCAGTCCCCCCGGGGTCTCCGGGGGGTATTGTCCCCCATTTCAAATTAGTTTGATGTAAATTCAGTCGAATAGAGAAAAAAAATTATGAAAATTCTTCAAATAAAGTATCCCTTCATATGTAAAGAAAACAAAATACCAAAAAACCATCTAAAAATTAAAATATCTATAATTCAATTCCAGGGCACTACTCACCTATCGAGTCACTATCACAAAATGGTCCAAAATGATCTATACACGTGCTTTTATTATGAAAGTGACACTAGTGACAGTTGCATTGACTGACGGTCTCTTCCTTAGATCATGTATGATCATAGGTGAGGAAACTTCACGAGGATCGCGCCAGTTCCTGCAAGTGTGATGGCTGCCATTCGTAATCACTCATCGCACGTGTGAAAAACTGAAAAGTTTCATATCCGAATTATTATACAGGTTATTCTATCAGTACAGAGTACAGATTCCACAATATTAAGGGAACTCTATTTTCCATCAAACCTCGACAAATCAGTCCCCCCGGGGTCACCGGGGGTATTGTCCCCCAGTACAAATTAGTTTGATGTAAATTTAGTCGAATACTGAATAAAAAATATGGTAATTCTTCAAATGAAGAATTCCTTTATATTCAAAGAGAACAATATACCAAGAAACCATCAAAAAATTGAAATATATACAATTCAATTCCAGGGCACTACTCACCTGAAGCCTCAAGTCACTAACACAAAATGTGACAAAATGATCCAAACCAGAATGATCAATGATCTATACACTAACTTTTCATTATGAAAGTAACACTAGCAGTCTCTTCCTTGGATCATGTATGATCATAGGTGAGGAAACTTCACGAGGATCGCGCCAGTTCTTGCAAGTGTGATGGCTGCCATTCGTAATCACTCATCGCACTTGTGAAAAACTGAAAAGTTTCATATTTGAATTATTATACAGGTTGTTCTATCTGTACAGAGTACAGATTCCATAATATTAAGAGAACGAGGCTACACCAAAGACAAAATTATGTGGATAAAGGTTTATTCTTCTTCCCACATACTCCTGTTAGAGTATGCAATAGTCATATTTCACTAGGCAGGAAAGTATAGTAGATTGACTGCCGTGTGAAACATATAATGTTTCCTTCAAATGTTATAAAATCAATTTTGTGTTCAAGTTTTTTATTGAGAATCCCATCAGTTCTTGTACATCCAATGTCAGTTTCAATTTTGATTACCAACTTCATTCAAATTTCTTGTAACGTTGCATAGCAATAAACTTTTCCTGCCTAGGCAGAGAAAGTACGCCTCTCCCGCCTGTTAAACGTCCGAGAAAAGCCACTTTCCAGTGCGCGAAATGCTAACGTTGGTATGGTGGTACCAAAGTATTTCGCGCACGAGTTGCAAACAACGTTTTTCAACAAACTTCGAAAAATACAGTTTCAAAAATGTAGTGTGTGAAACATATTGTTAAATTTGCTTAGAAGGCCTCTCCCTATCCTCCTCCCTAGGTACGCACGATGTTCCACGAACATAATGGTAATTTCCTTTCGTGCGTTTCAAGAGACGAGGAAAAATTATTGCTTGACATTCAGAAATAAATGATTCCTTGGACGATTGCTTGATTGAGGACCATCAAGTTTTGAATACAAAAATCCCAAATAGTTTACATACAATGCGCGAAGTATGTACTCTGTTTTGCTTCTTCTTCTTAGATTTCTTCTGATACAATATTTCTGATGATTCCGCAGAAGGGTCCTAGCCCCATGAACGGTGTTTGAGATTCTTTCCTAGCGAGTTTGGTCTACTTCTACTCCGGAATATCCCGGAACCCAGAGAAGGGTGACTGTATTTCTGTTAGCTAGCTCACCATTCAGTTTTTATCGGTATTTCCAAATCATTTTAGAGCTGGAGCTTAGCGGTTTGACCTGATTGTGTGAACTTCTACCGGAATATGCTTGGGAATTTGCCAAGGCTTCCTAAGTAGGTTGTCCTGTTGACTCCTATTCCAGTTCCACCATCAGTTTTGGAGCAATCTGTTGCGGTCCTTGATTTAAATAGATCATTCACTACGGTTTATCTTTCCCCGAATCATCGCACTATTCAGGTTTTCTAATCCACAGCCATTTGATTATTGGACCCATGAAAAAGAATCCCTACCGGATGTTCATTTGAAAACTTCCCACCCGCAATATCTCGTTTCCCAGCAAGCCCAGTCACATCACATCGATATCGCAGCGATGTAACAATTGTCATAATTACAATTGGCATAATTACAACGAGCTCTGCTGATACATTGACAGTTGCCCCACCTACATCGAGTCTGGCATGTGTAGCAAACGATATTTAATCCATTCGGTCGGACGTGGTCACGGTTACGTCACACGGTTTATTTATAGAATATTATTTTTGCCACATGTGTATATCATTCAAGTGATCTCGGAGTATCTGAGGACTATATTCCATTTTGATGATTCACTCCCAATAAAAACCGCTTTGCACATGATATCATCCTACAAATTGAAAGATTTCAGCTCAGTAATCTTTTTATTGTTGTCAACTCTAAATCGGTTAACAAATCAGAAGATACAAAGTTGCTCTTCGCGTTCAGCAGCCATAAGGTGAGTTTAGCTTCAGCCGGAGTCCGCACGCATTGTAACGATACGCAAGAGTAGCGAGATGGTTACGAAACAATTCGGGTTAAGAATCCTACGCCAGCTGCAGGGCATTTTTACGTAACTGGCGTGATAGTAGCAAGCATGGTTCAGCCCATATACGTATTAATAATCAATACGGATAATCTCTATCTGTTTCCATAGCGAAACATGAAGCCGATTTTTGAAGACAAATGACTATCCATAAGGAAAAGTTTTGAAACGATCAGTCACATACTGCTTTGATTGAAAGGCTAGTAAACGTCATTGTCCACCGAAACGCATGTCTTTGATCACTACTATAATAGCGCATGGCGCATGCGTATCATGCCACCAAATCCTTATGGATATGCATTTGTTTCATATTTTTGGCTTCATCCTGGCACCCGTTATGATCCGTATTGTTTATTAATACGTATATGGTTCAGCCACAGCCGGATGCATTTTTTCGTAACTGGCACGATAGTTTCGAGACAACCAGCATAGAGCCGCGCTATGATTCAGGCGAGTGCAGCCTCTTTCAGGCGCATTCAGACGTTACTGGCGCGATACTAGGGCAGCATCGCGGTCATGAATACCATATATATATATATATTATTTCTATACATGGCGCATCAACAAAAATAGGACCAAAATGAGAGGTACTTTTTCATTCTATAAGGACGGAGAGTGAAGGATGAAAACTGCTGAAGTGAGGATCAGATTTTAAAATAGGTTAGGTTCGTGAATAAGTATTCGATCGTAATAAAATATTACAAATCATCAAATGTTGATAATACCACAGTATAATACCGACAAATTCGATTTTATTCCTTTATACCTAATGTGGTTAAAATATAGCAGAGCATAATGTCAGTAACTTTGAGGAACAGGACAAAGCCATTGCAGATGATAATGAAATGAACTGCGATAATGGTTTCATTCAGTTTGGTGGAATTTCGAAACTCATACCCTTTAATCCAACATTATTGCTTCTGATCTTGGTATTGAATATTTTATATAGTTCAGGGTTAACCTAGGTATATATCAGAGATTACAGTACTGACTAATCTCTGGTATATATGTATTCTTTTCCAATGTGGTGAAAGTGATCTACTAGAATCTGTTTAGCGTGATAAGACTACACTACACTACTTTTGTCATTTACTGATTCAAACTTGGTTTACTATGAAGAAATGCCCATTATATTATGCTCGTTGCTGGATGATCATTACCTATGAAGCTTTATTGGATTTTATCAAATGTAATCATGTTTTTCATCAATAGGTAAAATAGCCTTTATTAGTACCGTACTAGTAGTAGTAGTAGTATCAGATAATATATCATTATCGAAAGCTTCCTTCTAAATCCTAACTTCAGTTCTATGATCTCCAGTTCCAGATCTACCTACTTATTTGCGAGCCCAAGATTTTGAAAATGCAAGAAAAGAGGATTCCTGTCTATTATTCACTCCGCAAATACTGCATTTCGTAGGCTGATGATGGAAAATAAACGAAAATACAAACAGTAAAGAATTGTACAACTAAAAACACAATTACTCAGATTTCAATTTTTCCCTACGTCGACATCAATGCCAATTGTTCAATTTCGTTACCTATAAAGACAGAAGTTGGTCCCGTTTTGAGGACAGCTATGCTTCATATACCTATAGATGAGTATAGAGTAATAGATATCAGTGAATTCAGCCACAGCCGGGCGCATTTTTACGTTACTGGCGCGATAGTTCCAAGACAACCACCAGCGCGGTCACGAATGAGGCGAGTTTAGCCTCAGCCGGGCGCATTTTCAGGTTACTGGCGCGATAGTTGCAGCAAATCATCACAGGGTGAAACCGTTGATTGAGGTATCTAACCAATACCTCAATCAACGGTGAAACACATTAAAAAACAAAAAACCTTTAAATTTCAGGGATCGGCGACCACCGCAGGCAGTTGATGTTCTTCTGCGGCCACCACCACGAGTGCCTACCCTTCGACACGAGGGGTGCCCTCGAAAGCGCCAAGATGGCCGTCGAGCGGCATTACGCCGTTGCCGGGGTACTGGAGGATATGAACACGACGTTGACAGTGCTCGAGAAGTACGTGCCGAGGTTCTTCGACGGGGCCAGCGACATCTATTGGAGTGAGTTTGTATTGTGGACCGCCCTCTTACTTTTCAATACAGGGTGTTTCGTTGATATTGCATACAACTGGGAGATAGTATTTTCCGGATCAAAATAAGGAAGAAAGTTCTCATACACAAACAGTGTTATTCATGAAGTCGGTATCATATGGGAAAATCTATTAATAATAATTTATTCCGAAATTCGACTTGGGCGTTAAGTTCTGCTTTGGAAAATATGAAAAATGGACTACTCGTTCGTGGTCACGTGATTTTCTCTACATGTAAAAGGTTCCATTTTTTAAATTATTCGCTGAAAATAGGCTATAATTTGTTTGAATTTCAAGAAAGATTACTAAAAAATGTTGTTTTTATTTCAATTCTACATATTTATGTGTCTCGAAATTGAAAGTTCAATGAAATTTCAAGTTTTCGATATATTTCAATTTCTTCGAAATGTCCGTAATATTGAAAAAAATTTACAACGACAAAACTATCTCATTTTAGTAGCTTTATCATGCCACCAACTTTCAATCACTGATTGAAGTTGATGTATCGTCTATCATTCCGATTCCGTATTTAAATAGATTTTTTCAGCACTATATCATCAGTCATCTATCAAAATATCAGCAAACGTATCTAACGAAAGTTTAGGAGAGTTTTGTCAAAGTTGCAATTAGTAGAGATTAAAAAGTATCAAGAACTGTGCATGAAAGTTGGAAATAGTGATAAATAAAAAAAATTTAATAGAAACAACACTTCTACTTGAACTTTTTTGAAATTCGAACCAAATAAGCCTATTTTCAGCGATTAATTTGAAGAAATGTAACCGTTAACATGTAGCAAAATAAATAACGTTGTTGGCAATCTGAAAAAAAAAATTGACTTTCTACCCTTCGTATCCCCGTTACTGATCCAGATTGGACCCGTGATTTCAATTTTAGTGAGTACATTTCATTGCATTTTCAACGAATTTTGTCAAAGAATAAAATATTAACATGTTTTAGAACGTATATGCTTATTTATCTCAAAAACGGTTCGTTTCTCGAAAAAAATTGAAGAGCAGAAAAAGCATCTAAATTGAACGATCTACACAATTTGATCACTGAAAGATGCCAGAGGCGTACTACGAAAAAGTTCGGAGGGGATAAAGAATAATAAGCCTCTACCTAGAAAAACGTATCACCCTGTAGATTTTGGAAATCTTCAAAATGCTTGAAATGATGATCTCCTAGGAAGTATTGACCATACCAAATTTCAAAATGATATCTTGAAAAGTAAGCGAGATATTTCAATTAATAGAAAACAATTATTAAACTTTGACCCCTACTGAACGAGATCGGACTAAAGTTTATATGAACTTTCTTGATTAAAGTGATGTGAAAAAATATTTCCTCTTGTTGAGTCGCTGATTATTTGTACCTTGTACCTATTTATTTTATCATGTTATAATATTCAGGTTTATGCAAATGGAGGATAATTCAGCATACCAATTGTTTTCTCAAAATGTCAACAAATCCGATCATTACCATCTAATTAAGTAATTGCTAGACTGATTATTTGTTCAGGATTTCATGCACATTCTCCCGATCTAGAGCTGGTTACTGATTTGAAACAAATACAATGAAGTAAAATACGAGGGGTAAATCTCCAGGAAAAATGTGAACACCAGACTTCCAATGAACAAATACTCCCAAAGACTTCCAAAGACATCCTAAGACTTCCAAAGACATCCAAAGATTTCCAAAGACTTCCAAAGATTTCCAAAGGCGCCCAAAGACTTTCAAAGTCTTCCAAAGACTTCCAAAAGGCTTCCAAAGACTACCAAAGACTTCCCCAAAGACTTCCAACGGAGTGTACACCGCAGACTTCCAAGGAAATTTACCCCTCGTCAAGATATAAATAAAGCCACAAGTACCTATAAAGCCATTTGTTTTGATTTTCTTGTATATCCCATTTGCATATTCGAACCAGCTTTAGAAAAATGGTTACATATACTTGATCATTTGATTATTAATAAAAATATTGTTTTGGTGAATGAATATTTTATTTTTCCATTCGTGTTTCAAATGTTGATGAATCAAAATGCGACAATAGGGATGGAACCCTGTATATGTAGCGCCCTCTATCAGTCATCACAAAACTAAGATCATATTTGAATTTAGCATGATGAAAAACCCCTGTATACCACATTTTATCAATTCCTTGCGTCTCTGGCTAGAGGTATTCAAAGATAACCCAAAAAAAATTAAATTCAACACCCCGTATCTTTTAACCGAAGGTCTTGCGGACCCATGTTCATAGGAACGTTTTTTCTCATTTTAGTATCCTCTATTGTGTGGCACTATGTAATGTACTTTTTTCTATGTCACCCTGTATATTATTATATTTCTCTTCTCCAAACATTTTTCGAAACAAAATTGACAACGATGTGACATTTTGGGACAAATCATTCGAATACATTTCATCACCCAGAGTAACAATAAAAAATATAAAAGGAAACGTGCAGGATCAACTACATTACAAAATGCGCGAGTTCTCCAGTATGGGAGTACTCGTGATTATGCAACCAGCACACCTGCACATCTCCATCAAGCAGCGATGGACAAGCCGTATTTGTACCTAAACCATTAGAGTTAGTGTTGGTGAGATGTAACAATTCATTGTTATTGTTATCATCACGGATAAAAGTACCTGTACTGTAGAAGGTACTTCAAAAAGTTTGATAGCCATTATTATTTTATTAAGATATTATGCTAATGAAGACAAATCAATAGTAATGATTTCAAAGCAGACTGGTTTACTTAATTATCAATCATAGTTGAGTGTATGTGTTACTTTTACAGGGTGAATTGAACCATGAAATAATAATTCGATAAGAATGTATCCTTATAAAATTATCTTTTCTATGTTCAAAGCCATATCAACATTTATTTATTCAATCCACGTTAATCCGATTTTTGATTGCTGAGAATTTTTGGTTTGTATATACATCAGGGCATGTACAAGGTGACTCATTGTATAAATAGGCGTGTTTAAACCTACTGATTTATTCTGACATTTGTGCTTTCTACAGTGATTCAACTATACAGGGTGATTAATTGAAAAATATTTTCCATTTGGTTTATATTTCTCTCATTCAGTTTTTCATAAGTAGGTACATTGAGAATAATTCATGAAAATCTCAACATATATAACTGACTTGAAAATTTTAAATATCTTCATGAACAAGAACATTACAGAGGCAATAAGGAATCTATGGTGGATCATTTGATTACGAAGAATAAAAAAAACAAGAGAAATTCTGCGAATATTTATTCATTGGGGATGTGAAAAACAATGATTAGAGACATTTGAAGGCACTGTGTACAGTATAGTTGTTGTAGGTGGCTACGAAAAAATCAAAACAGTTGAAAAAAGTTGAGACAACGTCACTTACTATGACTAGAGAATCCATTTCTATTTAAAGGACCATGTTTTGTGGATTTAATTCAGATAAATGCGATGTTTTTATATAATGTGGCTCACAAAAAAACTCTACTCCATCTACATGAAAGCAGACCTGAAAAATGTCGTTATAGAGTAGCAAAGCTTCAACATCTGTAAAAATAGAGAAGGTAAACTACTTAAATACTACTAAATATAAAGTTCCTCATTTTATTTTTCTTCATATTTTGACTGAAGTGAAATTTAGCTCCTCGCTGAAATTATACTTACGTTTTTGAAAGTATCGATTGTCATTTCACCGATACCTGTTGAATAACAAGTGAACGGTTTTTGAGACCTTATCATCATCAAAATCAGAATTTTTCTTGCTTCGATTGTATAGTCTAACCAATTGGTCTCATTATAAATGATGTCTGATATGGCACTACTCTAGAAATATATCAAATGTTCTTGTACATACATATACAGGGTATGCCACGATACATCACAATTGGGGGTCTATCGAAAAGGATTACAGATATATAGGGTGTTCAAAATCGAGATTTTTCAACTTTCGGATTTGTTTGTGTCGAACCATTTATCATCGGCCAAAACTTTTGATTCGCTATTTACTATTATGTAATCGGAACAGATACAGGGTGATCAGAATTCAGAATTTTGAACCGCCCTGTATCTTTTCCGATTAAATATCCGTAGAAAGTGAATGAAAAGTTGGGATTGGGACATGTGAGTCGCGTTTTCACCGATAGTTCAACACAAAAAAATCCTAAAGTTTAAATATCTCGGTTTTGAACACCCTATCTCTGTTATCTTTTTCGATAGACCCCCAAGTATATCGATACAATTAACTCTTCAGGAAGAATCTGAAAATGCGATAATATACAGGGTGTTCCTTTTGAAATATCAATGTTGCTACTACTTTCTAGTATTGAAGCGGCAAAACTGCATTGTCGAAAATATTTTAAATGAAGAAAGCGTATTCTAAACTAAAGGCATGCACATTTTCATGGATTTCTCCCGACTGATTCTCGATATAAAGATAGTGTAAGCTCGTCGTGACATACCCTGTATAGTCTAAATGAATTTTGATCCAGTTGATATAAGTTTGTCTTACTTCTAATCTAATACTGGTAATTTTGTGACCCCTAGTACGTCACAAAATATGGGGTGTTAGATTTGAAAAAATTGCAGATGAATTTTTTCCGTAAAATGTGGAATATTATGATAGTTATTTATTATACAAGGAAAAAAAGTAGTAGATTTTAGCTCCAGGTTGTGTTGTCTCCCTACGCGTAGCGTATAATACACTATTTTTTTTCTGTGACAGAAAAAAAGACGAATCAATATTCATAAGATATTACATTATTTTGAAATCTGAAAATTATCGACGTGAAATTTTAAGTTTTTAACAGTAGGGACACCTGCGTTGTAGGCATCATTATCATTCTTTTGAAGTAATCAAATATCGATGTCACTTCTGTCAGTCTAATTCTGTGATTTGATTTGAAAAATTGCGAATTTAGTAGTTGTTTAGTAATATACGTAACCGCGAAGTCGAATGCAAGATAAAAGGACTTGCAGTTCTTTCTCGGAGACGGTATTATTGACTCATTTTTCGGAACTATAGCACAACAAAAGCCATGCATAGTGCATATATATGTGATATATATCCGGGAAAAAAAGTAGTCCCTTTTTTCCTACGGGAAAAAAGTAATTTATGGAAAGTGACCTTTTATAACCTGCCAACAGAGATGAAATGCCAAACTTTTTTCCCGTCGCAGGAAAAATAATGTTATTTATAGATGATGAATTACTTACCTCAACTTTTATCTCGTTAGCAAACCATAAAAATAGGAAAAGTTGCGTCAATATCATGAATATTATAACAATTTGCCTGAATACTCCTATTATAGACTCTTCCTGAAAGTAAACCATGCACATTAAACATGTTTCTAAAAAAATTTCAACCATTATCGCAACTTACATTTCCATTAAGAAATAACAGTTGCTATATTGGACTTTGCACCACATTGAATGTTATGAAATTATCTATAGTTATAGGTACTTTTTGTTTTTCATTTCACTACTTACAATGAGCAATTTCATCAAGAATAAAGCCAATTCCATAGAATTACTGAAGAAACCGATGAAAATGAATTCTTTACAAGCATTGTTAACTAAATCCATCAATCTGAAACAAATAACTTTCCAGAATTTCAGCTCAATTACATACCATAGATGAAAGAGTGTGTTTCATCTATGTATCTACATACTTAGGTAATCATTTTCAAAATCATTTTCATAAGTTCTAGGTAACTTAAAGGTATTGAATCCCTCCCATAATATTCCGGGGTCCCAGAGCTTTTAGGCTATCAGATATGTGGCTTATCTATCTTACAAAAATTCTCATGAAATTGTGGAATTCACGGAAGCAAAAGTTCTCCAAAACAGTGGGATCAAATCACCCTTGTATCAAACAATCTACTAGAAACCACCACTTATCTTTGGTTTTTCAAATTGCCCCTCTATGGTTTTTTCGGTTCATCTTATTCCTAATTCGACTATACATCGCGATCGATATAGCGTTATTCTCAAAATTACAAAGAAGCAACTGATTGTGCAGGCTTCTTATACCTTCGATGTTTGGTATTACTATCAGCAATATCCATTCTTGGGAAAATCACGTGAGATGAATTACTAAAAGTGCATCACAAAAACTTGGTTTTCTGTTTCGGGCCAGGAGCTATTCCACTTCCAGTCAGCTGCTTATTATGATCGATAAGGCACAGATCCGACCTATCCTGGAATACTGTTCCCATATTGGGAGTGAAGCACCCAAACATACCCTGAAACTGTTGGATGTTGTCCAAAAAAAGAGCAATTCGTCTCTTAGGTGATGCCTCGCTCACAAACTCACTCACTTCTCTGGAGAAAGAGTGTCAATTATCTGCTGGCCTAAATGCTCTGGGACCCCCGGTATACTTTTTCATCAGTCCTTACCTCTGCACCTCCTGATGTCTCTCCACACAAGCAAAAATAGTTCTTAGAACGGCATCATCATAACTAAGATTCCCATCAGCCATCAATTCCTCACAAGAACTGTCCATACTTCGAACCATATTCTGCAAAATCTTGATTTGCCCTACCACAAAAATCATGAACAAAACCGTTATAACCCTGATGAAAGTCAAGCTGAAAATGATGGCAGTGAACAGCGTCAGATCGGCCGTTCTGGCAATCCAGTAGTGCTGATTGTACAAGTCAAAAGGGTACCAAACTTGGAAACTCAACCCTGCAGACACAGGGCAAATCAAGTCCGGCTCTGCCTTGTAGGAACCTCTAACTACCAAGGTGTACCATGTCCCAGCAGCCAGTATAGTCATGAAAAAAATCGTGAACCCAGCGAATCTGTTGATTCTTGAGTACCTATTGTATATAACGATCTCCTGGACACAATTCACCTGGCTTGCTTCATACCAGATGATGTAGTCTATCACTTGGCGCATTTTTTTTAGCTTGGTCAAGAAACCCATGACATTGATGTTGGTGTACTGGACATAGTAGCAAGACAACTCCACGATCCTTTCTTGGCAGCTCCTGAACATCCAAATGGACACTAGTATGTCTTGGGTCATGAGGAAGCAGAATGCTTCCACGAATAAGGAGTACACCCTGTAGAAGAAGGTGAGGAGTTTGTGGTGGAATTTTACATGCCATTTACCGGCAGCCATGATCACGAAGCGGTGGTACGCCAGAAAAGAATCTCTGGTCCTCATTATGGACAATGGGGGCCCAATATGGAACCTGCAAAGGTCAGTTGATTTCGTCCAGAAGACTATACAGGGTGGGTCAATGTCGATGGTACCTTAGACGTTTAAGGAGATCGGGGCAAATTTGGTTACTGAAGTAGTTGCTCATGGTCTATCGATCTAATATATTTTGGACAATGCAGTGTTGCCGCTTCTATCGAAAAGTAGCAACAACTTGTTGTTTCATATAGAATATCATGATTTTATTGCATTTTCAGATTTTCCCTGGAGAGCTGATTTCAGTATTAGGTATACTTGGGGTCTAGCGCGAATGATTACAGTGATATACAGGGTGTTCAAAATCGAGATTTTTCGACTTCAGGATTTTTTGTGTCGAAACTAATTACTTATTATCGGTCAAAAAGACTTTCATGTCCCTATCTTACCTTAATTTACTATATACTGACATTTGATTGGAACAAATACAGGGTGGTTCGAGATTCAGAATCCTGATCTCCCTGTATATGTTCCAATCAAATTTAGATAGTAAATCAGAAGTAGAAGATAGCCGTTTTGACCAATAATGAATAGTTTCGACACAAATGATACTGAATTGGAAAAATCTTGATATTTTGAACACCCTATATAACTGTGATAATTTCGGCTAGACCCCAAGTGTGATGTATTGATGGAATCAGCTCTCCAGAGATAATCTGAAAATACAATGGAGTACAATGTTCAATATGAAAAATCAGAATTGCTACTATTTTTCGGTATAAGCGGCAACGCTCATTTGTTGAAAATATTTCAGATCCATGTAGACCCAATAACCAAATTTTCAGATTGATCCTATGTCCCGTTCTTTGTAAAAGTCTAAGGTAGGTGCCATCGATAGTGGCCCACCCTGTATAACTAATGCAAAGGAATGATAATGAATGCGAATTCTATAGCGTTTTTATTCTGAAACATCCTTATTTTATCGGAACACTGATTAGTCATAAACGTTTTCCATCGAAACGACACTTTATCAAAACCGTATTTCATCATAATAAATCATCATGATAAAATAGATGTTTCTAAGAAAACAAATATAGGTCGATACGATTTCTTATATACGATTTGTACTGTTTTGTAGATTATCACTAATGACTAGTTGGCTTTTGAAAATTCATATTTTCGGTAAAATGCTGGTAAATATATAGCAATATTGGGAATTTTCACTTATAATATCACGAGAGCTTCAATTATTTTCGGGAAATTTTTTCGAGAACACGAATATCTTGAAAATTGAATGAATTGTCTATATATTCGTGTTCAAGAAAAAAATCCCGGATATTAATTGAAGCTGAAGTGGTATTCGGAAGAAAATTTCACGCTGAAATATTATATTGCAAGTATACCTATAAAATATGATATGGTAAACTGTAGATATATGATTTTTATTTATTGACTTATAGAATGAACTCGAAATAATCTGAAGTTGAATGAAAATGTGATTTAACCTATTGAAGTCAAAAAATGTCCAGTTTAATTTCATGCTCCGTCCCCCAAGAAGGAGGAAAAAATTTCCAAGAAATTTGTTTAGTTGCTATGGTAACGATACGAAATACAGGCTTCAAATTGATCGAAAATGTTTGGTGTGAAATTTTCAACTAACTGAATGATTGCACCTACTTACAATATTTTGCTTGATTTATTTTTATAGTATTGAAAGACCGAATTAACTTGAATTTTATCTTCAACTAATTCTAGTGAAGTCCTGATGAATACTTACGTTAGAAAATCGAAAGAAAGCAAATTAACTGTATTATTTATGAGGTTAATTGAGGGCTATTGTGATTTCTTGACCAAGTGCTAGAGTTCTCACATCAAATTGATGGTTGTCAGTGGAAATCATTTCTATTTGTGTTATGTGTACCATTTTTCAAACCTATCATTAGTTTTTTCATTATATGTCGATAATCGGAAATATTATCATGTAGATATACAGGGCTGCTCAGTATAATTCAATGATTAACGGCTCTTGTAAAGAACTATTTACTGTTGAGTACTAAAAAGTACCTAACTATCTACCTACCTCGTTTGTGTGAAAAAATTCAAGGGGATTTGAATAGGAGTCGTTATGTTATACTTAGATATTACATATAAGCAGAGCTGTACAGCCTCCATAAACAAACAAATGCGAATGGCAAAATGAAAAAAAGGATCCAAATCATTTTTTTCGGATGAAACATCCTGTATATCTTCAGCTCTATTGGAAGCTCTTTTTCTTCTGTTCACAAATAGTTATTTGTTTCCCTAGGCAGCAAAGTAGTGAATTCACTTCCCAGTTCATAACCGAACGTAGCGAGGATATACAGGGTGGACCATTTTAATCTATTATGGATAATAGTTCTTCCCGGAAGCCGCTAACAAAAAAATAGTTGAAACAAAAGTTGAAGGATTCAATAGGGGCCAAAGAATGACCCTACTCACAACCCCCCCCCCAGGGCCCCCATACGGCCCTGGGAGATGAAATGTTTTTTTTTCAATGGGAACCCTATTTTTTTCACAACGGATTCTTGTTCTACAGAGAAAAACAAATGAAAAATGTATCTAGCAAATTCTTTTTTGGGCCCTCTTAAAGGGCCCCAAATTCTTAATTTCGGTATTTGAGTTGAAGAAAACAAAGAATCTTCATTGGCAATTTTATGTTATCATATTTAAAACATTGGTTGGACCTGAGCCTTAAAGTTATTGCATTTTTTATGATCGTGAAGGATTCAATGAATTTTATTTATTATTTATTTATTATTACTTTGAACTTTACATAGCAACAAGTTTTTCCAGACTAGGCAAAGAAAGTCCACCTTTCCTGCCTGTTAAGTGTCAGAAAAAAATAGAAGGAATAAATAGTTAATTGCTAATGTTCCCTGGAACCATTGAAAAAAAAAGGCAAATAGTTAGTAGTAGTAACTTTGTTTAATATTCTCATGTCCAGGTACATATCTTAACAGCAGCTTCATATTTTATATCAAACAGATTTTTTTCCAGCAAACAAGATCACTCCATTTTGGATAATATAATAGTGAAATGGATGGTCAGCTACAAACCTGGCTGTTACTGGTGGAGGCATTGAGAATCCAGCGACCAAAACTGAAACAAAGTTGCTAGTTATACAGGGTACTCCAATGTTACAGGGCCAAATAAAAAAACCTGAATAGAAAACAATTGGATTCTTTCAGTAAACTATGGTATGAAGGTTTTGTTGGGTAATCAAAAGTGGTAGATAATATTACTCTGGAATTTTTCAGTTGATTCGATTTCATTTTCTTTGATACCTTTCGCTCTCATATTGGTATTCCTCATTTTTTAAATTTGTTCTTTAAACTAGATATCTGCTGCAACCTAGAAGCTTTGCGGGATATTCTATTGTTTGAAAAACATGATTGACAATGAAAAATGCTTTATTAAATATTCAGTCACAAATTGAAATGATATTTATATTTACATAGGGTGTTTTTTCTTGTTTACATCATTCAATATCCTCACAAATGCAATTTTTTTCTAACACTAGTTTCCTGCAAACGACCAACGAAAATGACAACACCATTACTCCGGATGAAGTAGATGAAAGAGTGGTCAACATGGAATTCAAGAGGGGGGAACATGAAGGCATGACCAGATCTTGCCTCAATCAGCTCTGAAATGAAAAAAAAAACATCAGAAAACGAATGAGTATTCGCGAGATTCACGAAGTGGGCGACATCTAGGTTACATAATACGAACTTCAAACTGGGGGAAAACAAACTGTTGTCTATGGATGAAGTGCAACTACATTGCATTCAGCTTGCTGTAGCTGTAGTCAAACTTGTTAATGACATAAAGTGTTGGCACTGTTGGTAGTGATGATGGTTGAGTTGGTTAATTTTTTTACATTATTGCTTTTTTATTAGTTCACTGAACAGTGAACAAGTGAAGAATTAGAGATAGTTCAAACAATTCGAACTAATTATGACGAGCGAATCAATTGACATATAAAAGAACAGCTACAACATATTTACAATACCCAGATTGTCCTACTTTGCAGGAACAAATACAAATCCATTCATTATTCCAAATTTTTGGGATTTTCTCTTCTCGTTTCTATAAAATAAAAACATGAATATTATTTCAATATACGTGTAGTAAGGACAAATCAGATGATTTGCCCCGAAATGTCACTGCGTTTAAAGAATTTTCCTATCAGAGAGCCTAAAAGAAAAATTCACTAGCTTGTCAGTGACAATTTGTATTGAAAAATTTTCGGAGAAGAGAAATAAAGGTATATAGAAAAAATATCAAATTTTCACTTATCTTTGGACGTTTCGGGACCGATTCTGCTCCCGTTTTCAACATGAAGAGATTTTTTTCAATTGCGAAGTCGTATAATATGTCTTGAAGCTTTTCAGTTTTCAATGACAATTGGTGACGTTGGCAATCGAAGGAGTTACAGGATGTTTTCATTAATTAATCTTGAATTTACCATTTTCATGTTCAGATTTTAGTAGTGAATACCATGTTCTGTCTATATCAACTGAACAAGAAGCAATGCTATTGTCTCCGTTCAGAAGAATGCAAGCAGATTCCTTGATTTTTCTCATCTGGTTGTTATCTTATTTTCCAATGATTTTAATATTATTCCACTCTGCCAT